ATATCTTTTATTTTTCAATATTTTTTCTTTTTTGAATCTTGAGAAATTCCCTTTCTCTGATATGCCTTCAACAGTTTCTCTTCATTTTAAAACAGCAGTTTTTATTCGAATTTAGATTTCGGCAATTTTCTTATTGATTTTGATAATAGCTTTTGCTAAAAGTTAAAAGACATCACTCTCTATAATTTTTACAGACAGTTTAAACTGAAATGTTTTAGTTATTAAAAACGGCCTGTTCAGATAATTTACTTTGTAATGCCCATATAGGAAGAATGACTATAAAACTTTCCAGCATGCGTGTGTCCTGATAAAACCAAATCAATTCGTTTCATAGTACTACGTAGAATTTTAGAAGCACCATTTTGGTTGAATTAAAAAGTTTGTTAAAATCTGAAAGAATATAAAATTTTCAAATTCACATATAATGCGTCTATTAAATTAAATATAAGTATCAAATGCCGATAAGTCTGTCTTCGAAGTTTGTTTTCATAATGGCGCAAATGACCGCATAACGCTCTCTATTAATCAATAATACAATAATTTCGAACGCTCTCTATCGTTTTGCAGTTACTGAGAATTTTGAATGAATCATATAAGTGAAACATAGAAGGTAAATATAATTTTTGATATAATAAAGCTTATTTCAGGCCTACCTATTTTTGATAAAATTTGATTTATTCTTTTTTTAATAATTTAATTTAAAAGATTATAATTTAGAAAAACTTCTGAAAGTGAAAATTTAATTTAAGTGATAAATTTATATTTAACGATTGGGAGAAAAATGCGCAAAATGCGGTCTTACCAATTTTCTAAATTGCAATTAAATAGAATTGCAGGTATTTGTGATGAAGTCAAATTATCAGTGTACATCTTAAATAAGCGAAAATTTATTACCTATTATTATTCTCAATGAAGATAACTTTTAAAGGTTAAAAGTAATAAGTGGAAAGAACAAATCAAAATTCAAAATTTTTGTAGAATAATACATATATTTATAAAATGATACCTTTCTGTCAATCCATTACTAAAGTTCTTATATTGGAAAGATACAACAAATTTCACTTTAAACCTAAATTAAATTAGCTAATCCTACCAGCTATTTTTTCTTTATTTTCTCTAATTTATTTCGATGGTACAGTGAAATAGACAATGTTGAAGAAAATGTGTGAGTTAATTTTATAGTTTGATTAAATTGAATTAAGCAAAAAAATTCTATCATTCGTACGATTCTAAATGAATGTATTTTGTAAAATTTTATTTCAACCATTAAAGAATTGAAAACATCAAATGGGTATAGCAAAACACTTTATGTTTTAAATGGTAAGAAAACTATTCCAATTTGCACTTTTGTTTTCATCAAATTATTTACCCTTTTGTGGAAAAATTAAAACATAGCGATCGATAGTCATAGCAATGAAAATAAGTGTTGAAAAACACATTGAAATTGCTTCCACCCTGAAACCATTGAAATTTATCATATTTGAAATATTTGCCAAAAAAAGCCTTAAATCTAAGCAAACGATGAACTAAAGCATTCATTGTTTACTATTTAATAACTAAATAGCTTGAATTTTACCACGAAAAAAGTTTCGAATTTCATGATATAGACAGATAAGTATACATAAATAAGTGGACATAATAAATCAAAACTGACTTGTATAAAAGTATAAAAGGTACGAAGCAGCAGAACAATTCACCGAAAATCCATGCTTCGCTAAAAGCTGTAATCGGTGTTAGTGTTTTGAAAATTATTAAAATGACGAGATCTGTCATTGATAAGCTAATGATAAAAGATTTCTAATTGGCTGCAATGATTTATGCCATATCATTGATAATACAATTAATGTATGCCAAGAACACCAAGCTGGAAACTATGTATGCTATGAATTTGTGTACTAAAAATAATGATTGGAAGGAATCAAGAAAATGAATTAACTTATGCATAGTTGCTATCAATAAAGTTTTGCATGATCTTATTAGCAATAATTATTTGGCAAGAAGAATTCTGTTTTCTTATTTGTTTATTTTTGAAAATTATGTTTAATTTGTAATTATGTTTAGATAACAATAATAAACTTATAATAGCAATTATATTTAACTTATAATAATAGTAAATTATATTTGACTCATATTATTACTTATGTTTATCTTATAATGAAAGTTTCAGTCACAGATATCTAACTCGTCCCTTATTCAACTACACATTCAACTACGCATTTATTTATTTTTTTCGAATTTCATCATGCTACTCCAGTTTTTTTCACGGATACAGTATTTAATAAGTAGAAAATCCGGAAATTCATCATTCAAAAAATGGAAATAAAATAACAGGTATGTATCAATAGAATGTAGGTAAGGAATAAAATTAGAATGCAAAATTTGTTATGCTCTGTGTGTGATTGAAATGATTTGGCCGGAAATCATTGGCTGTCATTTTCTAAATGTTTCTTTTTTCTTCTTTGTCATTCAGTGAAGAAAAGTTTTAATAGTTCGAAACATTTGATAATATGCAAAATGTACAAAAAATATTTCAGGAAGAAAGTTTATTCAAAATCATTGCTTTAAAAATTTTGCACTTATTGAAAGATATAAAAAAATGTGCAAGGAAAGAAATAGAAGATATAGCGGAGAGGGTAAAAAGAAATAAAGAAAGCCTGAATTCGAAATTTTCGAAATTTCCCAAAACAATTAAAGGAAAAGAATTTTTTATTGTTTATGCTTTTAATTTCATGCCTTTGATGTTATTTATTTATTGATAGCATTTCAAATCTATGATCTATGAATTAAAACTTATTAGAAAAATTGATATTACTTTTTTCAGCTTCAATCAATTATTTCTACTGCCAATACATGGCAACTTTTAAAGTTTCGAAATACCGACGATATTATGAAATTGCTAATAAAAATGCTTTGAAATCTGCTTATCTGATATTACATTTGCTTCTCGTTTGTCGGTCATTCTAATATAAGTTGATAACATATTAAACTTGTTTGATCATCTATTCAAACTTCTCGTTTCATTGTAATAGAATAACTTTAACATATAAGCTCTATAATCCTTTCTGTGATAATAGTTTTTTTTAAATGGCTGATATTTTCTCTAAGTTTGAAAATTTGAATTAACGATAACGGAATAAACATCAGAGATTTTTCCGGCATTCATTTAATATTGCTTTGTGAACTCTTTGTGTCAGCTTTTCTTCTGATTTGAAAAATGAAAAATCACTTTTCTAGCCTCGTTGCTTTAAATTTAACATTACAATTTACTTATTCTCGTAGTTAAACAAAAATTACTTATTGTTTTGAAAGAACGCAGCAAATATTATTCACTGTTTTATGTTTAATAGAAAGTGTTTTTCTAGGCCAGAAAAGGTATAATAATTAGACTAGTCTTATGACTGAACGAGTATAATTATCTTTTCTGCTAATTACAGGACAATCAATAATAGTGAAGGAAAAAAGGGAATGTTTCAGGGTAAGTAATTAACGAAGGAACGAAAATGTTTTAGGGCTTGAAAAATCTGGGAATGAGAAGAAAATTCCAATCGTACAAATTTTTCTATCAGATGTTATTACGAAAGCTTATCGAATGCGCGGATGTTAGAAATACTGTACTTCATCATTTTAATAATTATTGTGATAATATGGAGAAAAATTTTTAGAGAATAATGTAAGTTTTGTTTGTAGTTGAACTTTGAAGAATGACTTTTGCTTTATTATTTAAGAATTCGAGAAGTGATAATTTATGCTTCTTTAATATTTGAAAAATGATTACTTATGCTTCTTCAATACTTTAGGAATTTCAAAAATGATAATTTATGCTTCTTTAATATTCAAGAATTTTCAAAAGATAACTTATGTTTTTCCCAATCATTTTCTGATTATCTTTCGGAGATCAATTTGATATATTTATTTTTTATTCGTAATAATCATAGAATAATAGTGAAAGTTATATCAATTTTGCGTTTTTATTTCGTTTAATATTACGAAATAATACATTTATTTTTTTACTTGAAAAATAGATCATAATTTTAGCATTTCAAATTAAGATAAGAAATAAACGAAATCAGAATAATAAATAATATATACTTATCGCCTAAAAGCCATCTAAACAGGAACACAGGGGTAATATGAATGAAACAGCATAATACTGAAAAGCTAGTTAATGTGATATCAATTAAACTTGAATATAGTAAATTTGGAAGAAGATATAATTAAGAAATAGTGATGTATAACTGATAGTAATACTGACAATAAAGAAGAGAAAAAGAAATAGTTAATTAATGACTTAATTAAATTGAAATTATTAGTGATCTTCGCTGTAATAAGCAAGGATTACTAGCGCTTTTTTGTCTCTTATTAGAATAGAATTTTATACAATTTTTTTCACTGATTCTGCAATAGGAATGCATTCTTTTTTAAGCTTTGAATATTGACAGTTAAAAATTCATGTCTCAATCATTGAAGGTGAAGTGAATTAGGTTAAAAGTTCTAAGCAAATGATATTCTAAAAACAATTTTCTAAGTTTGATTCATTCTCACTTAGTGCTGAAATAGTGTTGATTAAATTTTGATATATTCAAAATACCGTAGAATATTAAGTTCAATAAATCATCAGAGCTGTAAACTTCAAATATCCTGCACAGCTTGCAATAACATCCACTAATCTTTGGCTTAGAATTCTTTTCATTAAAAACAGATCATGAAAGAAATAATAAAAGATTAGAAAGTGATGGTGGAGAGTGCATAATAGGTTAAAAGCGAACATTTTGCTCACTGATCAGATGAAATGTTTATTGTAATCGACGATAATATAAAGTTCTGCATGGTAGTAACATTGCTATGAATTTTATAAATTTATTCAATGAATATTAATTGCTAAAAAATTCGTTTCATTTTTAGCGATATTAAAAGACTTCATAAGTAAAAAAGAAACTATGCGTATCGTTAAAAACAAAATTATAATATTGATCATTTATTTGAATTTATCACACTTATAATTATTTTTTTGCCGGTTTAATGACATTAAAGCAGTCATTATGAATAAGCCATTTTCCGTTCACTTTCTTCCAGATTTGCAAGTAGGCACCGGATTCTGGCCCACGTGTACCACTTAGATGATAACTGCCACGTTCGAATGCCCAATCACCACTACCATTTACTTCTTCTGTTATTATCTGAAAATGATGAGAATACAGAGTGATACAGAAAGAACACGATGCTCAGGTAACGTTATTTTGAAATTCTACTGTTTTAAAATTCTGTCAACTTTTTTAGAATTTAACATCTACATATGCTTTTTACATTTCATTTTTGGGGATAGATAAAAAATACTTCTTTCATATTGTCAAATTCAAAAATTTTCTGAAATTCCAAAATTTTTTTGGAAAAATTTCAAAATTTTTCTGTAAATGCCTGAAACAGAATGAGTTGATTTCAGATTGGAAAATTCATAAATCCATTCGAGGCATAAATTTGAAAAAATCTACCTGGCAACTTTTAACACCTTCCGACATATCCTGTTTAAAGTACGACTCAATCCCTAAAATATAAAATGTGATTCAATAAATCTGATCACATATTTCTTCTCAGGGTTTTCAGAACATTTATTACTTCATCAAAAATGTTCAACGACCACGATTGGGTTCTTTTGTGAAAGTAGAAATAACTACCGAACAGTCAGAAACTAAATTTTTGGTTAGTTATTTACTTTATTGATGCAGAATTTTCCGAGCTAGATATTTCCAACTTTCAAACATTTGAAATTCAGCCTTCCTCATTGGTCAAATAAAAGTACCTGCTCGTCCTTTAACCGGATCAATGCCATTGGGCATGAAATAACCTTCCGGATCATACAATGCAGCAGCACCAGCTGCATCGCCTGAATTGAATGCTTTCATGAATTCTGCCTGACGTGACTTGATTTCTTGGAATAGGACTGAAATTTAAAGAACCTTTTTAGTTAATCGGATGATTTAAAAAAGATAAAGTTCCCCGTATAATTTATAACAATACCGGGCATGTCGAAACATTCGCTACAATTTCAGTTCTAGGCATATACTACTTCATTAAAAACAGTTAAATTTCATTCCTCTAAAAAAAATTCGCGATCTTAAATCTTTAATTTATTTGATTGATAATGATAGAAGATATGGAAAGTACTGGACTATAAAGAATCAAAAATGTTGTACTACCAAAAACGCTATAATTAATTTTCATTGAACAGGATTTCGATTTCTCAATTTAACTCTCCAATGATTCAGCTCTTAGCAAAATTCAATTCAAAGATAATTATGATATTAAATTTTGATGTAATAAAAAAGTCTATTGTTCATTAATTCAATTTAATTTTGTTTAAAATAATTTGAAAATATTTGAAAGAATGGAAGTAATATGATGATTATGGATAAGCATTTTAAATTAAAATTAATAATTCAAAGATTTTTATTCCAAAAAAAGATAAAAGGATGTGCTATGCCACAAAAGCAGACAAAAAATTCCATTACCCGGGTTTAGATTGTTGAGAATAATAGAACTGAGCGGTATATCACGAAAGAAGTTCATTGTGCATGAAAGGAAAACTAAGCAAAATGATATTGCCACATACCACTCATATTGATGATGCTATCGGTGATAGGAATGCTTCAGGAACTCTCCAGAAGAAAGCGAAGTGGACAACAACTAAGGAAGCAAAACTAGACGTTTTATTTGAAGTGGATTGCTTATGACAGCTTTTCTCCGCCTCTTCAACAACTAATATATTCACTGCGGTATAAAAAATCGGATGAAATTGAGTTTTTACAATCTGGAAAAGTGGGATTTATGCTGAGTAGGCTTAGCGGTAACAGTAGATATAACTTATCATTCCTTGACGCTTTCAATAGCTTACTTCGATCACTTCGGCTTATTTATTTATGAAGCAAATACTGAAAAAAATAATTATACTTTGTGCTATACCTAAAAAGAAAATTGTTCTTGTGTTTACATACTAAGTTCATTATCACAAGATTTGAGCATTAAGCCTCATCAGCAGCTATGGTGATATATCACTTTGACAACCTCATTTTCTTCGTTTGCCATATTTGCCTATAAACAAGCACTATTTATTCCTTTATAAATTCTCTCTTCTTTTCTTTTCTAACTTATCAGCATTTAATAGCATATGTAGCTCTACTTTATAAAAAAATGAGAGAATTTTATGTCGCGTAATTATAACGTTTACAATTTCAGCTCGAAAAATTTGTCCTTGAATAAAATTACAAAAACGGCAATCGACACTTCCAACTAATTGTTTATTTCCATTCTAAAAGAAATTTTCAAAAAAACAAATTCTTTCATCTACTCTGATAACAAATACATTAAACTTTTTCATGAATATCATTTATTGGAATAAAGACTATTATATGTTGATATCCAAACAATTTTACATATACCAGATTGTAAGCACACAAATTCCATTAAACGAAATGAATTAAGGGGAGAAATGCATTCTTTTTCCGGTTAACATAATAAAAATAATCTTCCTGAGAAGGATTCAAAATAACAACTAGTGAACATTTTGTCTTATCAATGTGTTATTTATAAATAGTAAAATAAAAATATGTTACGTACACTAAATAAATACTGACATGGCACAATAACAAACAGTTTACGTATTTCTTTCCATTTTAAACAAAATTAAGTGAACACAAGAAAAGTGGATATAATGTAGCTATAGATTTTTTTAAGCATGAATATCTACAAGTCAAAGGAGAAAAGATGATTCGCTTTACAAAATTTTCTTTACTGAACTATATTTCTAAATAAAAGAACCCTGATTTCCAATTTATTATTGAAATAAATTGAAAACTAACTACGCTGTCTTATCTTTACTGGTGGTCTATTGTGTATGCTAAATAAGCGAAAAGTTAATTCGATAATCAAGACGACCAGAAATAACCAAAATGGCATTGCCAGCCAGAACACCGGAACCATCCCAAATTTTAATCGAATATAAAGCAGTATTTCGAAAATAACTTTGAAGACCAGTAACGCTGAAAATATTCTTGATTTTGGGTATAATTTTTTTCTACATATCTTTAAAGTTCTATCGCGATTTTAAGAAATATTGATAACTAATCGAAAAGAGAATAAAATGATATGCCATAATTTTGAAGTTATAAGACCAAACTTACTTTCAGCTGAATATTGCTGCTTTTAGTACAAAATGAAACAATCATGCAATGGTGATGGTGATTTATTGATTTAAGATTTGCAAAGTTATCAGCAGTTAAAAATAAATGAAATTACCAAACGCAACAGCAGAGACTCGTTTTTCTAGTGGGTAAACGTATGCTGCCACCTGATATGGTGCATTCATATCGTATTGCCTCCTTCCCACACCACAAATTTGATAGTGGCGCATTATTCTGATCACTGAGGTGGACAAAAAAATGATGTCAAAAAATCCTAAAATCACAAAAAATATCGACGGCTCTCCATCCAGACCACCATCCTGAAAATTTTGAATTTAATTTCACACAGAATCTTTGAGTACTGCTTAAAATTATTTAAAGTGCAGCGAAATAATGAATTAGAAGCAAAAACTAACCAGGTAAACAACTAGAAAGACAAGGGCGAGCAAGAGCAACAACCATAAGAACAGCGCTTTGTGACCCGTACCCATACAACCCGTCGAAAACCACAGATTCATAAAAACAAATTTATACCGAATATATCACACATTAAATAAATAAATAGTGAGCCCAGAAATCATAGTAAGACATCACAGTAATTTTATTGTATATTTCTAATGAAAATGATATTATCGATCAAAGTTGATTTTTTCGAAATAATCCTTTCAGTGCGTATTCCGAAATCTGTTTCTGCACTCAGGTAAGAATATTTAGATATAAATATGCATTAAAGATATTCAACAAGGTTTTTCAAAAAACGAATGGTAAGATGTAAATTTCTTTAACTGCTTGCATCAAGCCTGTAACGCTACGATGGTGTTGCTGCAAAAAAAAAAAATAGTTTGCTCAAATCCAGTAATAATGTTTAAATAGTAAACCCTGAATCACCTCTACTTTATATTATGCTTTTGAAGTTGATAAGACTGGCAGTATCAACTTCTACAGAGCATGTTATCAAATTTGGAGAAATCTTTGTCAACACAACGCAACCCAAGTATGAATGCAGAACCAAACGAGATGGTCTGTAAAATAAAGTAAAGTCTGCAATACATTCAAAATTGGAACGAAATTTAAGCATAACGAGTGGAACATATAAGTCTATAACCGCTAACCTGCTGAGATATTTGTAAATAACATTATTAGATCACCATAATATAAGGCTAAGTTAATTCCCAAAAACATTAGCAGCTTTGCCCTCATACTATGTAGCATTATTGAAATAAATAAAATAAAAGATATGAGAAATGACTGACGCGAAACAAAGGCTATATGAAAATGAAAACCCCTATACATGCAGCCCCCAAAACTACTATTTCATCAATGCCTCTTAGGATCTGATGGCCGCTTAAACCGATGATATAATATTCAGAATTATCTTTGCTCTTTGCATAACACTCCGTATCATTTCTGTTAAATTGTATCTTAAAACACCTCTTAAACTTCCTTGTCACAAAGCGGTTAACCGTCTTTCAATAACAGCGGTATATATAAGTAAAAAAAAATGGAATAGATAAGGAAGGTGAATACGAGTTAAAGTTCACCATTACTTGTTCTCTGAATCTCTTTTATTTTACAGTCATTAGCAACTACGAAAAGAGAAAGAAACGAAAAAGAAACAGAAAGCATACAAATAACATGATGAAAGATGAAATTTTAACATGAAAATCGTTCTGTAGACATCCAAACAGTGTATTCAAATTCTGAACAAAAAAAGCTATAATCAGAAACTGATAGGTGAAAAATTTTCTTGAGAAGAAAATATATATACATAAATGTATACGAACATGTATACGTGCAAGCTTTAAACAAAATCCATTTAATAAATTGACACGATAACATATGAAGTTACATATTCTGAATTGATAAATTCTTCCCTTCAAATAAAAATTATAGTTGAATAATTTCGGCATAATCGGTATTTAGCAATTATCATAAATAGAGTTTGAAGAGAATAGCAATAAAAGAAATGTACATATATTGTGAAAATTATTTCTAAGAAATTTCGGCATGTGCACTTATCTTTTTGCTATATGTGCGCAGTGACACAAATTAAATCGGTTAAATTTTTTAGAAATAATTTTCACTTTTAGCTAAAAAGATATTTCGCAAAGATCTTATCAAAACATAAGATAGACGAACTCTAATTTTATGTAAGAATGACCTCCAGTTAACTATAATAAATAATTGATACTTTATTCGCTAGTTTCAAAATAGCTTTGTATTTTTTTTTGGCTATATGAAAAGTATGTTGGTTAGTTTCAGAAATCGTAAACCCGTAATGGAGGAGACAACACTGAAACTAAGAGTTATGCTGCTGAATAAATTGTATAATCACGTCTCTTCAGATAATTTTCATCGATCACGTCTCCGGCAGCATGCATACTGTTTCAAGATGAAATCAATGGAACATGATCAATGCCGAGCCGCATTATTTTAGGTCTATTTGCTCATCTTCCACAAGAGTTCCATTCGAAGCGAAACATTCATATTCGTGTGAAACTTCTGTCGTTATCTGGAAATTGCATCAGATCTGTTTACCATCACATTTTAATAAAAGATAACTAGAATACAAACAATGAGATTTTTATGATGAAAGCTTCCATGATAATCTGAAAACTATTTTATAAAACTTCGTTACCAAACGGTAGTAAGGGTTAAAAAAACTATATGCTAAAATTCATAAATTATTAAAATGAAAAAGAAAGCCATTGATTTGAACCGCTCGAAGTATTTACTCAAAAATTGTTCAAACTCAACGTTTTGAAATGTTATCTATCGTCTTCGTTGAATTTTCAGCGACAAACAAATCAAAAACGGAAAAATATGATTATTATCATTTGCCGGCAACAATTTTGAATTAATTCTTTGTTGGAAGCAAAAAAATTTCGAAATCTTCCGTAATTTATAGTTCCTTTCGCCAGTTTCGGAAAACCTTATATAATTAATTATATATTAGTTACCGGCGTACTTTTTTGTACCAATTTTCGTAGTTTTCGAACACTTACTAGCGGAGTTTGGCACCTACTAGCGAAGTTTAACACCATCGAATTATTGACATCCAAGGAACTTGCACGTGAATGACTTGAACTGCCTATTGACACTTCTGAATATTTTCACTCCGCCATAAGCTTAACCTGAAAATTTGCTGTTCATCTACTAGTATTAAATCCATCACCTTATGTTATAAACCCGACATCCTCAATTGTTTTTTTATTTGATAAATGTTGCTTTCTAATACAAAAAGAATTTAAATTTCCTTTTGAATTGTCTATAACTCCTGATTTTCTAGCAAACTCAAAATTCTGCTGAACTACGGAATCATTATAAATATATCAGTCACAATATTTGGAATTTACAGTGATATTTCAATAATATCTCCAATATTTTCAATAAACTACTCAGAATTCTAAAACTAGCGGCTCATTGTAGCACATTGTCACCATTCGTAAGTTTGATGCATAGGTCAGCTAGAGTTCCTTATCCCCGAATTTTTTTAAGATTCAAAACAGAAAAAAGTATAAAAAAATCCCTTCGAGACTTTTCTCCCAATGAGTTTGTTATGAGATGAGAAAAATCTCAAGAAATTACCTGGATTTGCTGCCCAACAAATGTGTCCATTTGTGGAGATCAAAGAGGTTCTTACGTACATAAATAGATGAGAGGAAGAGACTTGCGAAAAGTACCCACAAGTCAAAGGTCGTGAATCTAAGATTTAGGCTTGATCACTTGAAAAGTCTACAATTTTATTTAGATTTCCATCTCTGAACGCCAATTCTTTCAATCTCTCTTCGCAACTTTTTCGAATGGGAAAGAGAATTGGAGGACAGTAAACAGGAAACAAGGATGGAAGCGAGGAGGAACGGTCAGCAAAACAATATAAAAAAACGAGAAGGATCATCATCGACATTATCAAGTCGCACTGCATCATGGCTGATAAACACCCTTTGAGAATTCGATATGTTTGCCTTACTGACAGTAGAGGCTCCCTGCCAGCAAACAACCGTTTACGTCTTTTTTCTTTGCATTTCAGATTTCGCGGTTGACCGTTGCGACGCATTCAGATTGGTTTTCAGTTTGAAATGTTGCGTTTGGCGGGAGGGTATTTGCACGTTATTAGAGCCAGGTTGGTGGTGGCAGTATCGTGGTAGTTACTAACTGATCATCTTGAGGTGGTCAATTTGTTACGAATAGGTAGTGGTTTTTGTTCTGAGAGGCAATGAATTGATAACGTACGAAAATAAACATTACTGACTCATCATCGGTACACCAATTATGTAAATTGGAGTAACGAAATCTCTTTCTTCACGCTGTACCTTCATTTCTCCCACCTTCAGAAACTTTCTTGAAATACACAATTTATGCTGTTTCGAAATAATTTTTCTATATACTTTTACTGCGTTGAAATTGCTTTTCAATTGAAACAAGGCCCGAAATCTGCTAGATTCAATGAAAAGCAAAGAGGATACTTATTTATGGATGAGTATTCTTATGTACGATAGTAGAATTGTGTAGGTTAATATTAAAAAAAATAAATTAATTAATAAAAAATTGAATTCTAGTCTGATACATTTTACATATTTTTGCTATGACGAACAAGTTTTGGAATGAAATTCGAATTTTTCCTTTTCCTATCGTGATTTAATTTGGATAGTTGAACAAGAGAAGTTTATTCATTCAATTTAATCAAACTTGTGCTTCAATTATTGTCAGTATTAATTGAATTAAGATATTGTTGCGATCGAGATGATTGATTATGTGAAAAATAGTTAGAATTTCGTGCTAAACGCGTTTGTAAAACTAACTGGATATTCCAAGTTGTAGAGTTCAAGGTCGAGAAAGTAAGGTCACAAACAGGAGTTGTTAAGCAAAGATTTTCAAAAGATTTCTGAATTTTAAATTTGTAGTTGATTATAATGTCAAAAACCGAATAATAATCCTTTGATTGTAAAACTATGCTTGTTGAATTAATCGATGAAAAAAGAATTATGGGAAATAAATATCATGAGCAGCTATGAATATGCGATCGATTCATATTGTAGAAAAAAAAATGAATCTACAAATGAAAATTCTTTGAGTTGATGTTTTATATTATTTTGAGCAGCATATCATGATAAATCATTTATTTTCAGTTGTTATGGAGTATCTTCTGGATTCCTATGTGTTTCATTATTTTCCATTCACAATATGTCCAAATACGAGGAAGAATATCGTATCAGTGGTGATAAAAATTGTTACAGTTAGCCTTCCTCGTTTTTTCCATTTCATCACATTAGTTCTCTACTTAGATTTAGAAGTAGATTACTTTTCATTTGTGAGGCTTCATTTCGAAAAATTAACCTAAGTAGCCTAGTATTGCTTTTAAGTTTGTTGCCCTTAGTTTTCTAGCAGCTCGTGACTTTTAATGTGGAAGATTTCTCATACAATTTTCGTAGATGAACTTTACCTGATTATAAAAAATTCTTCAAAGATAGTTTTTCTTGTGTTTTCTGATTTGCGTAGATACAGATAGGGATTCGACTTAATTTCATCACAAATTTCGCTTGCGGGTGTTTGTAATTGATACTCTCTATGAAACTATGAAACTTCGGATAGATTCACTGTGCTCTAGATATTCTCTTTTGATTTTTTTAAATGTGTTTCTAAGACTCAAGAGAGAGATTTTAAAAAATGAAAGGAAGCATTTCTAAATTCTTTAATTTTTCCTGTTTTTCAATGTATTTACAGATGGCGGATTGGTTATGTAAAACTCGAGAATTGCAGCCGTTCATAGAAAATCACCCAACGTTGTTTATATCAGAATTCATATATTCAATGCTTTGTTTGTTGTCGCTTTTCTGTGGTAATATTTTATTATGTAATTTGCTGAAATAATTAGAAAGAAAGTTCCAAAAGAAATTAAAAAAAGTTTTATCAACATTAGTTTCCTTACTGGATATTTATTTTAATCAACTGAATTGAAAGCTTCAGTAAGACTGCTAAAAAACGTTCACAGAAAATTTTTAAAAATTCAAGCTTTTCGTAATGGTTCACGTTATGTGTATACATGGATTGGCATTTATTTATTGGCTTTCTTTACTGAAAGTATGAAGTATGTCGATAAAAGCATGAACGCTGTATTCTATAGTCAAACATTGTTAACATTCATGGGAATGCATACTCCTCTTTATTTGTTATGCGGTATCTATCACACACTGTTCTATACTTCATATGTTATAGTGAAAAGGTAAAATTCTTATGTTTCTTTTGCTACTTCAGTTCAAGTTTGATTTTAAAATGATTTTTGGTGTCTTTAAGACACTGTTTTTTTATATGGAAGCGGAATTCACTACACTGCAACATGAATCTATTTTCTCTGTTTAGTATTCAACTCTTTACAGGATTCGTTTGAAGTGGTGGGGTGAAGCTGCAGCAAACGGTCTTCTAGCACTCTTGTTGTCGTTACCCTTACAAGTGATGGGTACAAAATTGCTTTGGTGGCAGTGGTATGATGGTGACCCACGTCTCATAAGCACGTACGCTTACTTGTATTTTTTGTAATGTTCATTTTTCAAATAGTAATCTCAAATTTTCTATTACATTAGTCATCAAAAAATATTTTAAAGAGCACCATCAAAATACTGGCCATTTAGAGAACTGTTTCGATGTATATTGCTTGTCACTGCTCACTTTTCCAGATTTTATTCTGTACCACTTGTTGCGTTGGCGTGGTATGCAATACTAGGAACATCATTCAATGTCAGTTTATACTTATTTCGGAAAGGATTTCTTTGTGAAAAATATCACTGGAAAAGGTCTTATATATTTTCTTATTTTTAAATGCTTGTGATTAATCCATGCATTTTTAGATTGTTCAGAAATTTTAGTTCTTTAGTTGTATGATGTGTCTATATTTTTGTATACAGTGATGATGAAGGCTTATTGATTTTATAATTATTAAAACCTTATGTAAATTAGAAGATATGTGTTACAGATGTGAAACTGTTTGTCAGCCTTTCAACGCTTGTATAGTTTCTAGAAAATAAAGAGAATTTTCAGATTTGCTGCTGAATTCTTATGTGTAGTTGGTGCAGCTTTATTTACCCTTTGCCTTGCTGCATTGCAGTACACAATTTTCTTTCACATCCTACGTGATATTTTCCAGGTAACAAATTTTTTTTGTGTGAATTTGTTTTTGCTCGTTTGAGTTATAATTTCTCAAGTGCGTAATTACTCCTTTTTAGATTCATTCCGTCTTTTCATTGGCACTTCTCCTCATTGTATATGCAGCTACAGCATTTAAAGCACTACTTAGTTCTAGAATGGAATATAACTTGCATGATGGAGGTCTGAAATTTGCATTGCACATTATATGGATTTCTTTTAAAATTTTAAATTGTTGCTGCCATTTTATACTGTAGAAGTCATGACGATAATGAAGTGAGAAAGTTAATTTTAAGGGAAATTTTCCTCGTTTACTTAGCTGACGTGACACAGAAATGTACATAAGATTTCATTGGTGTTAGTTGCACTGTCTAATTACGCCAAATAAAATTCAGAAGAAAAATGTCAGTTGATTAAAGCTCCATTGAATGATAAACTCGTTGACGTATTGGTCGAAATCGCAATTGTGGCAGTTCATTTCTCGCTTCACATGTTATTGGCAGCGTTTAGTTCCCCTGAAAACATCGTTTCAGAAGGTATGCATCAGGCAATCGGTCCGTGTGATGAAGTGGAACAAATTTTTTCACCTTTTGGTTTGGTATGATTTTAATTTACATGCTTCTTATGCATTTATAATCTGTTGCATATAATTGACTACCAGAAAAGCTGGCTTTACTGATTTTATCGATCTTTAATGAATTCCAATCAGGATGAAATCGCGAAGTTTTTATATTTATATATTTTTATATGTTAAAGTTCTATTAACTTACTTGATTAATTAACTTTTGTTTGAGATTTCTTACCGCAAGAAATATTTCTGCATAAAAGAACAACAGCAGAAGCTATTCGATTTTCATTGTATTCCCGGTGGACAATTACCGGAAACAGTGGGCGGTGAACCTTTGGAGTACTACGCAATCTGTGGCAAAAATTTCGAGCATCGAACAGAATATATTGCTTTCATATGGTTCATCTTATTGGGTTTAATAAGAAAGATTCTGTGATTCATTTGGTAGAAAATAAAGGCATTTAGATTACTAATGAAGTAAGTTAGCAAATAAATCAATTGACTAATGCTATCAAGTTCAATTTTTCTTTTGCTCCGTAATCAAAATATTTAACTTATGAAATTTTAATTCGATATTGTTCTTTATTTATAGGATATACTGTGTCACGGTCCTTTTCATAATCTATTATGTCACACTTTCTTGTGTAGCTAAGGTACTTTTTATTCTTTCCTATTCCAAAGGTATTTTGAGAGTTATTTGCAGTGTTGGTTTTGCTTACTCTAAAATCTTTGCAAAATTTCTTACGACTGTTTTTGCAGATCAATAAATTAAAAGCGTGTTCTTGCACCAAAATTACACAGCACAACGGCTACAGGTACGGGTTTGCATCACCGAAAGACTCATGTGAAAAAAGGTTCAAGAATGATGGAATTTCGCAACGAGCCTTGGATGACGTCAAACTTCGGCATCGGTCAAATATGCTAAATCGCTATGGTAAAAAATCGCGTTTGCCCACACCTACCCGTCTTTCGAGTTATCTCTCAAAGTCTTCTGCATGAGCTGCGCAGATAGTTGTCCTGATATTATTGTTTAATAGATCTCGCTTAACATCGTTGGTTTTTCCTGTTTTTTATTGAAAATTTGAAAAATTGATGGAACAGACTTCGTTACAAATAACGAAGAATTCGGATTTAGCTATGCAGACTATTTTATGTATTGCAATGTCCTTTCTGTATACAAATGCATTGCTATGAAAAGTAATGCTTTCGAAATCGTATCATTCTAGCCTGAATTATGCGACTATTCTGGCTCATTGTAGTTTCCTTATGTTTTTATTCAGTCTTTTCAGTAATCAAGCCATTTGTTCAATTATCGACTGTGCATCGTTTCGGGAATGTGTTGTAACTCTATTTTAATTTCACTTTATGTTGTTTTAGAATTTATTGATATCTGATATCATATGAAATATATTTGGAGAAATTTCACCTTACGATCTGATTTTAGTGTTCTTTATTTAACCCATAAATGATATTTGTTTGGGTGCATTAATGTTTTTATTCTTTGCTTTAGAAGTTGAACCGATAAGGTTGTAATTTGAATAAAGTTTTATTTGTTTTAAATTTTATGATTTCATTGAGGGATTTTTGCTATCTTTTTTACTTGAGGCTAATAAGTTTGCTGATTTTTAACTCTCGTTGTCGTAATTTTAATAATGATTTTATAAATAATTAGGGATCACAAATTGTAATTTGAAATCTCAGTCGCAGTTGCCTATTTTCAGGTTATTTCGGATAACATGCTGCCGGATATCACTCGGGCAGAATTATGTTCTAAGAACGGTGCAACGCTGGTAAGCACTATTTATATGTTTCTATGAACGCTGCAGCACTGATAAAGCACTATTTATGTGTAGTCAAAATATGAGAAGTCACAATATAGTGCATATTACCATTAATGCATGATAATATTTAGAGAAGTGAGTTGCATAAAAGGCAATTGGAAAAAAAAACAAAGTTATTAAGAAGCTACAAAACTGTCCAGTTAGATTGTTAAGTAGAAATTTTACGGTTCAATATTTTCATTCTTTCATGAAATGTTTTGTTTCAACACTTTCTGGAAGTCTACGTTTGTTTCGTCAAAATTAACTATAAATTTCTCATTATACATTTGTTAAGTTTGGCAAGTATCGAGCTCGTCTTTTAAATGCTTCTGAAGTACCTGTAGTCAACAGTATGTCATGGATGATGGGAAAGGACGTCGTGATAATCGATCGCCTTTTAAAATCTGATTACGAAGATTCTTCGGCAAGTTTCGTATGTTGTTAACATGAATGTATCTGAGTTTGGCTATGAAGTTTTATTAATGAGTCTTGTCGGGATGTGCATTTGGTATAAGCATAAATGTGAATATCAGAATATATAGAGGCTATGGAAACTATGTGATAAAAAGATTCTGTCAAGTTACTGAATTTACTATTTTGTCGAGTTTAACCTTTAAATTTCGCAGTATTTTTTTAACTCGAGAGGATGAAATTTAACGTACCATATTTTGTTTCCAAGAGTTTTGATTGTGATGAATTTCCTAGTGTTCGTTTATGCAGGATAGAAACACCCTGTCAGAATCCAAAGATCGAGCGCAGGACTTTGAAGAATCGAGTTCTCTAAGCAACTCGGAACTTGGCACTTCACCTTTAAAATATGAATTTTTAAGTTTGTCGAAGTTGCAGGTTGTTGTTTATTTTTATTTTTTAGGGTTTAATTTATAAATGTATGTGTAAAGATCACTTTTCTTCATTCTATCGTTAGCGAATTTTCAAAATTGAAACTACCACACTTTGATATATAAAATTTTTTACTTCTAGATTATTAGGATTTGGGTAATTCGTAGAGTTTCTATTGCTTAATTTGCTATTGTTATGTTCAAAATTATAAATAAAATTTTGCGTCGATACATCCCAAGATTACAAATATTAGGCAAGGAATACACCAAAAATTTTGATCGATGAATGCTATTATTCTGTTGCAATGAAACAGTTTGCTCTATCTTCGTTGAAAACATCAGAAGCTCGATCTCTTGCTGGCACGTATGTTATGCCTAACTGATAATAATTCATAATATGATAGTTTGCGTATATTTGCATTTTTGAACACGCTAGAAGATTTTAATAGTAAGAAATATTTAAATTTAGATTTGTCATCAATGGAGTTCCATTTGATGTGGAAACGGTCTCAAATCCAATTGTTTGGATTTTTTGTAATACAAATGATTATCTTTGCACATGTTTGTTAGGTATATGCAAAACAGATGATGGCACTGCGACGTACCATGTTCGAAGATTGCGTAAGTTTTTTTCTAGTTTGTTCTTATGATAGACTGTGATGAATATCAGTAATGGATTTTTTTTTTTGGGAATTTTGTGGGCTCATTGCAGCGTAAGGAAATAATATATCGAAATGTATATTGGTCCTGGCGCACTTTATATTATTCTCTACCAACTGCTAATCGATATCGTTAGTCGCATGAGAAAAATAGTGTAAGATGAATTTTTCAGCGCAAAATTACACAGGTACCGTCAAATTTCTGGCGAATTACATGGAACGCTTTTATGATTCTTATAAGGTGAGCTTGTCGTTTGTTTTCAGAGCCTTAAAGGTATGAATCTGCAAAAAATATCTTCAGAATCATGTAAGGTTTTACTGTTTTTTGCTTGAGAATTTTTTCTCCTCGAACAACTGCTGACATAATTTCTTTGTAATCATTAATGTAATCATGGCATTAGCTATTGTTATCAAGAGTGGTGATATGCTTTGGAACAACTTTATTTCGTTCTGCTTAAATTGTATATACGTTTAGGCCTCTCCAGACATAGCTTATTGCATGTATGATGTTGTTCCGAAAATGGTCACCACCGACCGAGACAACCAAAACAAAGTCTCTGGATTTGTAGAACTTCATGTATCATGGACACTTGCAAACAGGAATCATTGCTCCGATGAAATACTTTCGAAACCAGTTCCGTCAGCTTCTGTTATTGCTGTATGTTCCAATTTTTGTAGCTAAAAAACGTTAATATTAGTATATAACTTAATCTTTAATTGCCATAATAATGGTTCCAGAACTCTTTTGAAGAGGAAATTTGTGATACTTTTTAGATGTTTACAAACATATTATGCGCTTTTATAGGTTTTTTCTTTTCATACAGGGTAGTTTTGTGTCCAAAAATATAAAATTCACTTGCAGAAGATATTACCAGGTTGGCTTGATGTACGCTTACCTCATCTTAGTCTGGCTGGTGAGTTGGAACTGGTGTTAACCCTAGGACGTGCATTGCGAACCGGTGAAGTGACTTGGCCAAATGTGGATTTTGGTCGATTGCATGAGGATGAGAAGCTTATGAAATCTGCGTTACAATCTCTTCTTAATCAAACTTCAACTTTTCTCAGAAGTATGTTAAAGTGTCTATGATTTGTGCAAAAAAAAATTCTGTTGGACTAAAAATCCATTGAATTTGATGGAAAGCGATGATTGGATGAAATAAATTTGATTATCGAAATTCATTTTGAACTTTACAAGCCAGTAAGCTTGAATCAAGTTATGGGTTATTTAAGAGAAGACTGAATGTTTTCATTGCAGATAAAAAAAATTTAGAAGAAAATGTTCCATTGGATGTACCTCACGATTTCACAGAAGAACTGTGGCTCATATTGCACTACTGCCATTCAAATCAAGACCTCATTAAAGCTTTACGATATGTTTTTGATGCTTTAAAAGCAGGATATAAAAATACTTTGGTTAGTTTTTCTTGTTTCTTCTGTTAATTTTTTGGCATTTAACTGTATAAAACGATAACTGGTTGTGACTGCAAATTGTTCTATGAAGAAATAAGGAATTTATGCAGATTTTAGATACTTACAAATAATAAATGTACGATGGCGCGTTTATTGCGCGACGCATGCACCAACGACTTGCTGTTACCACGTTTAGAGGGTCTTACACCGATACAAATTTATTTGGAAATGGGTCTGGAGCGTTTACGAAGAGCTTGCATGGATGAATTTTTAAATAAGGGTTACTCTTTATGCTTTTTATTCGACAAACCCTTACGATCAGTACAGAGATGCAATCTTTGAAATTCTTTAATTTCAATTAATTTCAATTTTCTCACAGAGTATTTCGGATCTGTTGCTGAAATTGATGCAGTTTTTGATTGCTGTGTGGGAAAAGAACCGCAGGATCAGGCTGATGCACTATTCCTCTTCTATAACAGTCTTTTGGTTGTAAATACATGTAAGCAATATCTTAGATTGGATCGCCATCATATAAATATCATTGCAAGGTGAGTTAGGTATTTTGGTGGAATTTGTAGTTAATGCTGTGGAACTTAATGTCTTAAGTAGTTCACTTATTGATGTGACCACTTAGAATGAACTGCACTTCCATTGCTGCTCATTATTTCATGTATAGCTATTTCACTGTTATGTTATAGGCAAGTTCTTGGACAATACAGCAAATTGAATGTATCTCCTACATCTAACGACATAACCGAGGGAATGATGGAAAAAATGATTTATACACTTAATTCTAGACTATCATTTACAGATATCTTCAAACCTGTGCACGAAAAGTAAGCTTTACATCAAAATTTTCATGGAATTTGAAGTTAACGATCTGTAAAGCAGAAGAAAAAAACTATTAGTGTTTCTTCCTTATCACCTCGCGGTAAATGTTTTTATGCTCTGAGATAGGATTCAATGGATATAGCATATAAAATATTACCGATGTTACTAGCCTTGGAAAATATATTTTTGTTGAACAGAAAGATGCCGCAAGATATACAAGTCAATTTATTACCCATAAAACCATAAAATTATCGCTTAATTTGCAGCATACCACTAATTTAAGTTACATATCGTCTTTTTGCAGTAGACTCCCCAAAATTTGGAAATCAGAAATTACAGTTGAAACTACTAACAAACAAAGTTGGATAGCGCGCTGCATGATTCTATGCTCACGTACTACATGGTTACCATTTATCCAAAATCCTGAAATTAAAGATGTTGCATCCGATATGGAAAATAGTGTCGCAGAATTCGACAAGGTTCTTTTTTGTAATTTTGACCCCCAATATTAATTATAATGGTTACCAAGTTGTCTGTCTATCAACTCAGCACGAATATATCATAAAGCATGATGTGTTATTGTCCACCAACTTTTTGAAAGTGGGTAACACTTCTAGTTTTCAATTCTTTCATCTATAGTTAATGAAATCCGATCGTCTTATCCTTTCTTGCTAACATTGCTCTCAAATACTGCATCTTTTTTCTTTCTTGATATATCTTTCAACATCTCCATGAAATTTCTTTCTCATAAATATTGGTGATTTAAACATTTTGGTCGTTCTGTTTTTCCACCCGTCGTTGTGGAAAACATCACACATCATGAATTTATTTTAGTTACTTGTCGGCATTTTTCGTTACAGTAAAGATATGCTTAGAGTTTTACTGACGAGCTTCAGTTTGTTTTTTTCGACCAACTAAAATACTAATTTTTCACTTCCGCTTTTCAGAAAAATGGAAATCAGGCAATGCTGCAAAGTTCCGTGCCAGAGAAGGTAATTTTTTGTTCAAGTGATGAAGAAAAATTAAAACTGGATACAATTCTACGTCATTACGAGATCACTGTTGTTACTGGCAGTTTCATTACGCCATTATCAAAATGTTAATATTTAATACATTATTCTTATTTAATTCCGAGATAAAGGATTATTTATCTCTGATAAGATGAAGAAAATTTTTCAAGTGTAACACTTTAAAGTTCCTTAAACAAAAATCGTGGACATCCGAGATTAGTCAATTTTAACCAGAAATAATATGTCCAAACTACATGATTTGATTGTTGGATTTTACGACGATTTTACGACATTAATGTTAACTCATCGTGGTCATTAAATAACTTAGGTAAAAACAACACTTATAAAACAATTCAATATACTACTATTTAGTTGGTAATGATCAAACTAGCTCATGCAGTGCTTTTTTCGCTATGTAAATAATTTTCACTCATTCATTTCTTCTTTACCACTATTATATCTCAAATTTTATGTTATTGTGAAGCGGCTCAATAAAGATTGAAGTCAGTTTTCATTACTTGTTTGCGATTACCGATCCTCTACGGGTATTTTCATATTGATCGTTTTATGTTTGTCTGGTTTTCTATTTTTTTTGTCATTTTGCCCAAGAATTTACGAACTTATATGAAGCTATTATTATTTCGAACTTAAAGTATGCGCTTGCAAAGATATCAGGCAAAATATTTGCCTCGTAACGCTTGGAACACTCACTATAAATGTTTAGACGATATGTTTGAGTAATAACTTGTCGTTTTATCTTCAGAAGTTATGAAAGGTTGCGACTGGGATGGGCTGCATGAGTACGAAGCACAATTTTTTGGTTTTCTACCAAAAGGATTTACGGATGTTGGTTAGGATTTAACAAGTTTTGTCGATTTTGTGATTTTATTTTGATTGAGGTTTCAATTGTTGATAGTCGCTCCAATATACTGTGTAAGATTGATGTAAGATTTAATTGTTGCTTGGGAACAATTTTAACATTGGAAAACAGTTTACTGGAATGAAGAGAGTTCTGTTATTCGGCATTTTAAAGGATCCAGAAATTAATTTAATTTTCAGAGCATTGTTTCCATTCTGTGGGTTTATTTTCAGTCTATAATTTAATCCTGGAAGAGTGGGCAGAAATTGTTGAGAAGAAAATAATGCCCGACTTGCCTCTTGAAGATATAAGCGGTGAAATGAAGCTGCATTTGAAAATGGAACTTGTCAGTATGATTGGCAAAAACAATATCCTGAACTCGCTCATGAACAAACTAGAGGTTATCTGATTATTTTCTGGAGATGAGGTAAAACTTTTTGGCCGAATGTTATTCTTATTCAATTGTTTTTAATCACTAAGCAACACTTGATCATGAATTGCAGGCTTACACATTGGAATATGTCTTCCGTATACCTGATGAAGTAACACTGCCTGAAGATAGGCCGAATTTAAAAGTTGATAAAGAATGGAATGCAGAAGTCGCTAATAAACGTAGGCAGGGACTCGAACACAATATTATTAAAGTACGTTTTCATAGTCAAAACATGAATGTTATGGAACAGTTTTGAAACTATAACATAAATTCTAATCATGAGAATGGAACATGAGGAAAGACGTTGGCCTTAGTTAATAATTTTCCTTAATTCTGCTTATTTTTAGTTGCGTTTAGCCAACGAATTGTTTGATAAAGAGATCGCAAATAACCTGCAAGCGATACAATTGTGGAAAGCTATGCAAGAGATCAAAGGTGGTAGCAGTTTCGTGAGTAACTAACGGTTTTTCTAAGTAAAATGATGGTAGCTTTGGATTAACCGGCAACTCACTATCTTGATCCAGAAAAACCATAATGCTGGATTGCAGTCGTTATCAGTTTCAAATATGCCATTACGTGTGGTCTCCGACAACAAAAAAGTAAAACTACATTTTCTCATTTAATGGCAAACTAGTCAAATTTAATAATCTTGTATGACCAAACACCCTAAAAGTCCAGAAATGCTCGGAGATCACGAATTATAGAAATTAAAATTAGGATGGTTTTTGTCGTTTTTAAAATTTTCGTTGATTAACTAACTGACTTTAGCTACTGATTAGGAGCAAATCCTGCAGATAAAGAGGAAGAAACTTGGGTGATGAGCCTCAAGACAGCTATTAAGCAGAACTTTTAGAACAAAGAAATCAGTTCTTCAAATCTTTTCAATAAGTTAATTAGATTGTTTCCTCTTCTTCGGCATCTTGCTTAAAGTCTTACATTCCTAAGACTTATACCGTGTTGGGAACCTTTTTTTATTTCGATTTTTTTTTCGCTCTGTTATACCGACCGGAACTTCCCTGATTAATACGATTAAATTCATACATGTCATTATTTACAGTAATTTTGTTTGCACTTTTTTGACTCATATATTTGCCATAGCTAAGGCACCTTTTATAGATCAGCAAATTGATTTTTTACTTCTGATTCAGTAATTGGAAAGTCATTTTTTCACATGCTTGCTTGTCTAATTTTTGAGAGTTATTTTCTGTCGATTACGACGTTAAAGCTCTTTTCACTGCAAAATGAAATATAGAAATAAAATTGTGAATCATTTCAGTTCTCCGTATTATACTGTAACTTAGTAATGCTAAATTATATGGTTAAATTTGGATTTTCAACTAGACAAGCTATTCGCTTGTGTTCGAAAGCACACAAAGCGATTAGTTTATTAAAAATATTTCTGGGAAGAGAATTATCACAGCAGGCTTCCTCCATATTTGCTAAATAGAATAAAATGATGGATGCAGCGAGTATATGTTTCTGTGTTACTTTCCTGGGAACCTAGGCATTAATTAAAAAAGTTTGAGATAAAATGCGTAACCGAATCATAAAAGAATAGACAAATTTAGTTCCATTGGATTAGTAAAGTAGACTTATTCGTAACGGCATTGTTGATCTTGATAATTGAAATATTAACTATGGAAATTACCGGTTCTTATCCGTAGCTTCTTCATTACTTACAACTGAAACGTTATTTTGATTTTGCATATGTATTGCAAAGTCTTACTAAAAGAAGCAAGTAGGAATGTAACTTAAAAAACATCAAAAGCAGTTTTCCATGGCAGCGAAGTGCTGACTAGAAATGAAAAATTATCGGAACGTCGTTTGCTTCTAGTTCTTTAACAAAGGTATTACTGGGAACAATTTCATTCTCTTTTGTATGGCAAAAACAATAATGATTAAATTATGAATTACCAAAAAATAGACATAAGAGGAGAGATACAATTATGAGTCATAAGATGATGTAGAAGTAGTGAAGAATTCTAAAGATAGTCCTGATCTTCACTCGGAAAAATCACTGAAGGGATAATGCACGGAACTCCCATTCAATTTTAAAAATTAATGTGACGAATTCCTTTTCATCAATTATATTGAAAGCAATTTGAGACTTTCTCGTTAACTAAACTTTAGAATTGTATTTTCACCAATTATAGAATTTTATCTTATAATCGCAGGGTAATTGTGTTTGGACCATGGTAATCCGTGATCCGTGATTTCATTCACTCTCGATTGTATTCATGCGAAGAAATGATTCAATGGACTAATAGAAGTGTAAACATCTCGATTTATCCCTTATGATTACACCAAATCCAAGCAATGAGTTCTCCGATGATAGCTAATTTCACAGAATACTATTGCTGTATTGATTTTTAATTATATTATGGAAGGACTTTCGAAATACATTTCTGTGCTTTCATCGACCTTAAATAAAGTAATTTTGATTTCAAAAATGTATTTTTCAAAATATATAAGAGGAGCAGAACCATTTCAAATTCCCCTCTAATGTCACACATGTTGTCATCGGAAACTGAAAGAAGAGAGGCGAATCTAGATGCGTCTCGTAAATTATTGCAGATTTCCAGCAATTTCGTTCTAAACCAGAAAATAAGGAAACAAAAGTTCAGTCTTTGAAGAAAGATAACTCGAAAAAAATGACTCTTACAAAAAAAATGATAACTCAAAATATTACAATTCGAAAAATTATGACTCTTACAAAATGATAACTCAAAAATTTTCTTAAGAACAAAAAGTTCATTCCAAAAATCTCTGGACCTGGGAAGATTCCATGGAGAACGCATCATTAGAGAAAAATTCTGCTGGCAGGCATGAAATTGTCGAAAGATCGATATAATCCGGCACAGCTGCAATGCTTTAGAAGTATATTCAATACACAAGAAATGTTATGAATATACTAACGAAAATCATACTAATCGCTCAGTATAAAAGAATGACACCTGGATTTACAACATCCGAATCAAGTTCTTTTTCTTCTTCTGCCAATATTTGTCCGGGTGGTGTAAGTACAAATGACTCGATGGAATTCAGGAGTGAGCTTGATATCACCATATCTTCATCAATGTCACCAATGTTTTCCATGTAATCTTCATTCAATCCAGTCGCAATACTTGATGAATTCAATGGAATGGTCACCTGAGAAGGCGAAACTGGGATTTGAGATTTCCTTTTCGACTTACTCTTCGCTGAAAGTATTTTGATGTATTCAAATAACTTCAGCAAAACATACAACGACAAAAAAAAATAGTCTCATTCAACCGTATTCGCGTTTTCTACATTATTTTGTCTTTTATAGGATCTAGAATTGGTTACTGCTTCACCATCTTCTTTTTTGTCAAAATGTTATATACAAAAATCAATATGTTGAGCAACAGCAATTTAAAGTTAAACTGCAATAGTTTTGATAATCACTCTGTGAAAGAGTAGAATGTTCCAAAAATATAAATTAGGGATGAGCGGTATGCATGCACTATAAAGTCCTTTTAGTGTATTTGCTTTAGTGAAACTAAATTACTTCTTATAAAAGATCGAGCTAGGAATCCAAAACATAAGCACAAAATGTGGAACTTCACCAACAAGCGTATGTATGAAGTACCTGCGCATGACGGTTTACGAATTCGCTTTTTTTTAAGTGTCTTTGTGATATCATCATTATTAGTTGTCACATTTTCTAAGAGTTCCACAACAAAATAATGCCTTCTTTCCCTCGCCACATCCAACGGCGTACGTCCGAGCTGAAAATTCCACAATATTCCGAATATGAAACAGCAAAATCTGAATATCCTAATATTCCTTTTTTTGTAAACATACTTGATCATTGATCCCACTGTTTGCACCAAACGACAATAATAAATTAACCACATCCAAATGGCCTTCGCGAGCAGCCAGATATAAAGGCGTTTCTCCCTAAAGTTCCAAATAATAAGGATATTATTTAAAAAAAGTTACTAAATGGAGCAACTTGAGGTGTGTAGTCCTCGATCATATAAATCCGCATATCAATGTAATGAATGACAATGACGGGAACAAGTCACATTAAAACAGTTAACCTTGCTGTCTTCCGTGTCCAACTTAAGACCAAATGCGTATAACATTGGTAAAAGATCGACACGTCTATTAAGTGCGGCATAATGAAGAGCAGTGCGCCCGAAAATATCAGTCAGAGTTGGGTCATTCTTTTCGGACAATATATCCCGAGCAAAAACACAACCAACTGACCCTGCCGGCTTCTGAAACAGAACCGCTATAAACGAATGTTGCAAAATTTTCTGATGTTATATTTTAAATTCTTTCACATACCAATAACGAAGGGTCGAATTGCCAAACATTATTAGAAGTTATAAACATTGATTGCGATAAACCATTTTGCCTAGAAATGAAAAATCAAATAAGTGCTATTAGAAAACACACAGACATTAAAGACAAGAAATTTGGAAATAACGGAGACCTATTCAAATTAAATTGATTTTTTGATTTAGTTGATAATGCATCATTTGAATAAAAATAATAAGCAAAATCTGCCCGATAACTTTAACAAAATAATAAAAACAAAACATACGGAAGCAAAGCAACCAGCTGTGGAGTGGAAGTATCATTTAGTGATTCTGTTTGTTGACAATACTCAGTGTACATGAAGTCAAGAATGCAGCGAGCACACAGATCAGAGACATGAGCAAACCTAACAGTTAAAGTGAGTGGTATTTGCCCCAAGACATTTACAGCCCGCAACTGTAAAAACCCATATTTAATGAACCTTAAAGATAGTGTTGATGAAAATAGAGCAAAACTAAAAATGTTCAAATATCTAAATAAAACCGAATCGAAAGCAAAACTCTTCCCAAAGGCAATAAGATCGTTATTTTTTCACCAAAGGAATGATAATGTTACGAAGGAATGAGAAAATGATATCTATTGGGATATCAGTATCGTTTTTGTTTTTCCTCCAAATAATTTTGCATACTACGAAGCTTCCGAAAGATATTAAGCTGACTATTTCCACAGATATGATGACATACGTGTGAGGAAGACGGCAATTACCATGTACGTAACAAAAATTTAATAATCTCGACCAAAAGCTCAAAAATATTTACATTGCATCGGTGAGTACTTAGCAATAGGCGAACAATCTGGTCACTGTTAACAATCACAGCATGATGCAAAGCTGTATTATTGTCCGAATCAGAACAATTTACATCCGCTCCACAAAGCACCAAAAACGATACTGTTTTGACGTCATTACATTTTATTGCCTTTAATAAGTCTGGCCCCAAATAACAATCTCCATCACCATTATCTGCAGCATATAGCAGTAATTAGTTTGAAAATAAAGGCAAAGGAAAAAGCGAAGAGAAAGTTCCTCAATAATATAAAGCTAGTGAAAGCTCAAAGAAATTTACCGTTGAAGAAAGCATCGAGGCTGATTAATGTCTTCCATTCATCGCTTTCTGCCAGCTAGTAGTAATTGATGAATTAGAAAGATATATCTATTAACAATCGAAATGAAAAAATTATACAAAATTTAAATATAAGTATTACAACTAACATTTCTCGGCTGCTTTCGCCTGCAAGAAGTTGAAATTAAGAAAAGCGACAACGGTTGTAGTCCATCCCTTCCACAAGTATCCTTTACGGGAAAGTAGTTCTCAGCGGATGATATTGTTGAACAACTGGTCGCATTACTTTGCAAAGCTAAAAAAAATAGAAAACTCTGCGATGAAAATATTGAACGGGTTTCTGAGCAGTGAATTTATATAAAATATGAAATGCAGTCAATAAATATGTTATCGTTCGTATAAAGAAGTATAGTAAAAGCTATTAAGAGGATAATCTGAAATGTAATGAAGCTCGCAGTCCAAACTCCAATCAATCAATTTTTGTATTATTTACCTTGTAGCATGCTTTATGTAAGTTTGCACTTGTGGTTAATATGAATCAGATATTAACAAGTAAAATTTAAATCCTCTCTTATCAATTATTTTTTGTAAAATTATTAAGATAGAACACTAAGCTCCATCCAGTTAGCTATTATTGACATTTCAGTATATTTGGAATTTTTTGTACCGACATTAGTGACTCAAAAAATATGCCAGTAATAAAAGTACAACACATTAGAAGGTGTAAAAACTATTTTGCATCGTCTTACAGTAACCCTATCCAGTGTGTTCCTTTGGTGAAGTGTTATGCGAGTAGTGTGAAATATTGTTTTCTATTCGGTTACAAACGCGTAAGATAAATAATTCCTAGATCAATAACGACCTGAACTTGAAGAAAAAAAAGTTGGCAAACGCTGATTTTTTACTATCATATTTCCTTTCTAGCTCCAATCCTTTATTACAGTATCTCAACTATTTTTCAACAATAATGCAACACCCTTTTATAACTAAATCGAAATATTTAGGCTTGATGAAGAAATACATAATCACATAACTTCTCACACTGTAAATTTATAAAATGCAAAAATTTCAGAAAAATCACGTTACTTTCGAATATCGGACATCGAAAAAAAGAATAAAAAGTCCATTAAATAAAGAAGACCATCATATAATAAATTGTGCACTCGACATTCAATTTTTTTTCTTATTTTATCAAAAATGTCCTTGTTATTTGTACTAGATTTACATTATATCCAAATAGAACCTTAGTCTTTCTATATAGCAATACCATTTTCATGGCAATCTGCCATTATTTTGGATTATTACAACACATTTCGTCTGAGTTTTAAGTTTTATCCGCCACTTTAGCCGATAATATAATAATGGGTGAGAACAGAATATATAAATTTCAAAAACGAATAACAGAGTACTTCAGAAAACCGACGCTTCCTTGATAATTTGCACATTACTGATGTAACAATGCTACTCGTAATAATGTCTTATACCGTATTTCATTCGAAATAATTTTAGTGATTTTTAGTTGATAACTGTAAGTAGCTACAGCTAAATTGAAAACAACAGATAAAACTAACGCGGTATTTTCCAAACAGGAGCATGATTTTTTCCGACATTCCGTTTTTTCAATACATCATAAAATCCATAAATTCCATAGAAACACGACAGTGTTATTCCAGCTAGGACAAAACAGATAAAGCCGATAGCAATAATTGGAAGAGAATGGCTTCTACCATTTTCTACGAAAAGTCCTTCAACAGTAACGTCATCCAAGCTTATTCGGTTTTTGTCCTAGAATGATTTTTTCGCGATCTTAGAGTTCAAACTGCAAAAAAAATCCAGTAGAATAGAATCAATGAGAGAACTTATAAAATTTAAAAAGGGAATCTAAAAATAACTCCATCATAGAGTGCACTATGAAGATAAGCAGTAGCACCAAAAATGTCCGTGAAACAAGGCAAAACATTTGACTTGTTCAAATGAAGACGTCGTTCACAAAATGTCGAATCAATATCTACGTAAAGCAAAACACCCGTTGTGTTTCTGAAAATTTTTCAAATTAAGATGAACTTGGCTTTACAGTTTTTCGCATCATTATTAATTTAAAAATCTATTTGAGCTCTATGAAAATGAACGAGTAATGGTAAGTGTTCCTAATACAGCGTGAAACAGCTGAAAACTAAAAACCATTAATAATCTCAAAACCTCTAAAAGTATCCTCATAACAAATGAAAGTCCATAATAGTTCCCATAACAGACCATAATACGTTCCCATAATAGCCCACAATACGTTCCAAAAATAAGACGAAAATGTATCTTTTATAGATTGATATTTTCATATTCATTATAAACCTTTCTAAATTAATCTACACATAGCATCTTATCAGCTCAGAGTTCTATGGGACATACAAATAAACAAGCATGAAGTATCAATTGAGTGTGAAAACTTATTTAAGTGAAAATAAGGGAAAAATTTCATTTTACCTTGATATTTCCCATCGTTTCTTTAAATCGATCTGTTTCCCAACTCCACTTTCAAATGACCACTCATAAATCCGAGTTTTATTATTGTTATCTAAGGCTAAATGCACTGGATTGTGTAATTTCTGAAAATTTGACTACAACTTAACCAGTTTTTCATTGAATCACTTAACAAATGAGCACTCCTTACCATTATTCGTATTAGGTATTTTGTATGAATGAACCCATGATCTTATTCACATTATATATCAAGAATTTTTTTATTGTACACAAATTTTCACTTCTAGCAACCAACTCACCTGTGCAAGTTTTGCAAGAAGTAAATATATCTTATCAAGAACTTTAGCAAGTGATACATCGAAAATGATGCCAATCGTACTGCTTTTTGTTAGATCATGAAAAAACATATTCCTATTACAATCCATGCCGTCCAATCCACATTCTGCCACTGCACATTTTTCGTCGCATTTTCCATCCATATAGTGTAGAGCGCAATAATCAGAAAGTCTATATAAAACGGTGAAATTTTTTTCAACAAAAAATTCATGAGATCGAGAATGAATCAAGACTTGATTAAACTTGAATTCTGAGAAAATTGCAGCGAAATCCGTTTATGACCAAAAAGAAACTGCGATAGTGCTGCTGCTTACCTACATTTTTGTGCACTTACAACACAATCGAAACCATCAAAAAAACATTTTTCATTATTACATTCCTCATTACAAGTTCCGTCAGCAAAACGCAGTGCACAAAATTCCGGATGCTCTTCACATCCAACTCGCAAATAGTCATCTCTTTTCGGCACATGCCTTTCACAAAATTCACCACTAAACCCTAGAAAAAGAAAAATACTGGCTGCAACTACTCGGAAGAAGAACAGCTACCTTAAACTTCCAGCTGTAAGAGCTTTAGGATGATGATCAATAAGATAAAAAACTGATAGACGTACCAGCCGTGCAAAAACAGATATTGTCAATACAAGTACCGCCATTTCTACATATGTTTCCAAGCTTACATCTATAAATGACTGGTATGAATCATTCCGAAAGAAATGACTGGAAGCAAAACATGATGAAGAAACATATTGAATTGATTTTAAGGCTTTAAATTCTCTTGAAGTATTGCAACATAGGCAGTGATATATTTCAAAGTAAATCGTTAAAAAAATATAAACCAAGCATAAATTAGGCGTGAAATCGCCGTGAAAAAATATTTGAAATAAATGAAAGCGTGATAGCAAAAGCCACATCACCGAAATCACAAATGTCCGTTAGAGTGCACATCAAATAAGTTATAAGAGTTTCATTGTATAGAAATCAAAGTTTTTAAAAGAATAACAACAAAAGAGTAAACTAACTTATCGAAGGTGTATTCACAATTTTGACCGAAGTATCCCATAGAGCAGTGACAAATAGCAGATTCTTTTACACTTATACAGCTACCCGCATTGCAATAATGAGGAAATGCCTCACACATGTCAACAATTTTTTCGCATTTTTCACCACCATAACCTGCCGAGCATGAACACTGAAAAATTTCTCCGTACTTTGGAACTTTCAAAAGAATAAATTCTTTTAACAATTTCTTTGAAATGGCCCCAATTTGACCTTCCATATCTTACTTTGTTGCAAGTTAGCTGCAGGCGTTCAGTTTAAATTTAAATTCCAAAATAATTTGATTCAGAATTTTAAGAGCGAGAGAGTGAGAAATCAAATAAATTTCATGCATTTCGAGATTCGCAAACTAATTCTAAGGTCTGTCTTATTCATTAGCTTTCAAACAATTTATGTACACAAATATATTTGAGGGGAAAAAAGGTAAGTAAATTCTAATACGTTTCTCGTTATGAGATGATTCTAACATGATTTTTTACAAGATTAAATTTGTAAAATTGTCGATGTGGAAATCCTACCTGCATGGAAAACATAATTCACGAACGCTTCAAAAAATAATTTGAGTATGCAACAAGCTCAACATGAAGATCGAATATTTTGAATAGCGAAATAGCAAAAGAGCGTTACATGAACGGATACGAATGTTAACAGAAATGGATTATAGAAAAAAGTCGCATAGTTGATGACAAGCTCATGAAACAAAGTGAAACAATTTGCCTATAGTACATAAGTTAATGCTTTATTAAATTACAACATCAACTTAGTTAAACAATTAAGTTAAACAATTAAGATAAATGATGAAAAGGAAGAGGCTAACCACAGTTGAATGGGACTTATTCGTGATTTGCTTCACACACACTCCACCATTCAAGCAACGTCCCGTCGGATCAAAGCAGCTCGGCAATGCTATCACAAAGTTTAGGAGCGCCAATGCAACACTTATAAGTACCATAGCGGTAGCGCACTAAAATAATATTTCATTAAAACTGTGATCCATTCTCCGATATCGTTTAATCTTTAATGTATTGCTTTTTTTTGATAAATATAGCCATTAAATTGACATTGTCGTCACATAGTCAATATAACCTATATCTCTTCCAAAACAAAATGTATTTATTATTTGGTACTATACACTTTCCGCTATCAAGTTATTGTGTATACTTGTTTTGATGCTACATTGTTTTTTAGTTGTTTTATATTTGCCTTTTCATCCGTCGTTTTTGATGCGTTCCTTGAACTCTGACCTCTGCTCGGCCCTAAAACCAATTACTGCTGCTGCAACTTGCAATTACCTCACATCCTCCATCTCCTTCACTACGTTTCATTGAATACGTAAAACTTTAGCATTTCCAGCAGCCAATTTAGTTTTGCTTTAATTACGTATAGAGAGTAAGCCAAAGAGGGCATATTATATATAATAGTATGTGTTGTCATCGTTAAGCAGTTAGTCGGGAGTTGACTGACCAAATACCCATTCCAACCTCTTCAGTTCCCTAACACATTCACCTCCCCTATCTACCCTATTTACTAACAGATCAAACGCAAAACACGGCTCCCGGAATGAAAAAAATCTACCCTCTGTGGACAGTGAATCTCATTATCCACACTGGTTGTTTGGTTATTGATGAAATACTTTTGGGAGTAGCGTCGCGGTACTTAGTGTCCGTTAGGTCAAGTATGTTCAATGATACGGTAAACAAAGAAGCGGTGAAACCAATCGCTGAAATTTACGTTTCACCAAATTGATTTCTCTCCCTTTCTCTTTTTTTCTCTTGTTATTTCTGTTACTATTAATTTTTTTTATTGTTATTTTTACTATTGTTATTAATTATATTATTTAATTGACCCTCTTTACATGTTCACTAATTTAGGATTACGATGGAATTGAAATGACTTCGAAACTGATCACCTGATACTTCTCGGTGGTGTATGTCATTTTGCTTTCGAATCGATTAGATATTTATAGGTTATTCTCATTATATTATTATCTTTTTTATAAAGAAATTTTGGGTTTACCTACTTCTTCATTTTCAAGAAAGAAAAGCGAAGTTTGAAAATTAAAGTTATTATTAAAATGTTAACACTGCCTGAGTGCCTCTCTCTCATATTTATAAGTCTTCTTCATTAATCATTCATTAATTTCATTGACTTTTTGTTAATCGAAGACGGCTAAGTTCCTTTTTTTTGCTTATCTTTGTGTAAATATAACAATCTATTAAAAGGCACACAAATTCATCTCTGTGCCGCTCATTTTTTTAAATATTAAATTTAACAGAGTGTGCTACATTTCTTTTCATATGCTTCAGCAAACTGCTCTAAACTAAATATCCAGTTTTGCATCTGTTGCAATCGGTTAGCAATAGGGCATTAATTAACCTGTACGCTAATATATGCGCTAAAGCACCATTATATTCCTCGTTACTACAAAATCCACATATGAATTATACGGTCACAGCTATGCACATATAACTATGCACTAGGCAAGGACGGTTTTTTGATATGTGGATAAACCAGGCATTTCATTCTTCACTTATTTTATACATTTCAACTTTATTCTCTAATGTTTTATTTACTCATTACTGTTATATTTTCCCAGTCTCAAACAATAAATACTTCCTTGGTGTACGGCTTTCAACGGTCATAGCATACAAGTAGACATAACAAGTCATTGTTGACATTTGACCATTGTGACCATTATTTATTTAATGCTTATAACTAAGGTCGAACGGAAGATCCGATGTTGAAGGGATCAAAAATTAAATCCCTAAAGTCATTCATATTTGATGAATATATTGATGGGCGATTCGACGCTTCTTTCAATTTTACCATTTCATTTTGCATAGTATAGAATAAGATTTTTCCAAAATTTTTTTCTTGTGAAATGATCTTTACTTCTCCCTTTTTTATTGAGCTTTTCCGTAATTCCGGATAAATGCTAACATATGTTATTTAATTTCTTGAAATATTTTTATGGCAGCGTTATGATTTGTGATTTTTACAGTGCCACGCCGCTAATCGTACGGACTCGAATTCCAACTGACATTATCGTTGAAATATTTGGTTAGAAGGGATATATCGAGCGATAAGTCTAGTTTTTTTTTAATATAAATGATCATACGAGTGACATGGAATGATTAATTGATTATTGAGAGGATAAATCTGTTACTTAATCTTTCCTCATTTCTTCGTTAATGTGTCACTGTTTGTGAATAAAGTTCTGAGGTAATAAAGATTTATTGCGAATCTATTTCTTCAATGAATTCCACTGTCTTTCTCACCATGCTCATTTTCCAGCTCATATCTTTGATCTTTGCAAGTTCACTTTCTACTGGCTTAGATATCTCATTTAGCGTGCCGCTGGATATAAGCTCCCGATATATTGCACATCGTTCACCTGTTGAATACTCATTGTATTGTTTCCTGTAAAAATTATTCAAATCCAATTTGCTTGATCGTTTGTTTAAGAATTTATAAAACATTTTTGAGCTCTTCAGAAGTAATCGCGTACATATTATGGTAAGTAATGCGTAGTAAGATTTTAGCAAGCTTAGGAGTGCGATAATTGGGAAATCTGAGCAATCATGATGTTCATATTTTATGGGATGGGTGAATTTTGTTGTAAACTTATATTGATAGCTAATGTCATTAAACAAAATATATCGAAACATGACATAAAGCGAGTTTCCGATATCTATTTTCAGGCAAAAGCAAAAAAATGCTAATTATGATGCTTTTCAGAACTTTTCCGCAGAACAAGAGCATAGGAAACATGACAGCAATCTTGGAGAGCATTCGCTATAAGCAACTAGTTTACGTCATGTATCGGGAGGGTTTGATCATTTAATCGGTCTTCAAATTAATAAAAGGCAAGATGGATGTAATTTTCTTTTTGATTCCTGTCAGTGTGGGAAAAAGTTTCAACAATTTCGATGCAATGAGGATTTCTTACTGGAACTGTTTGTTGTGAAGGTCGATGATCACAGATCGTGCTGCAACTTTTAATTCCTCCAATTCCCAGTACTTTGGTAATATTAGTATTCGCACTAAATCATCTAAATCTATAAATTTCCATTCCTGCAACTTATCTCTTTTTTCGATAAATGATGTGGAGTTTCATAGTTACACAATATTTTGTGTTTTACTTAATGAATAATGAGTTCAAAATTGACGAGTTCGCAGAGTTTTTCAAAACCAATAAATAACTTTCGATGTTGTATTTGCAAGTTAATTTCGTCCAAGAAAATTGAAGAGATAGCTATCTGATGATGGTTAACAATAACAGCACGAACGATCACTTAATCGTCGATGAATATTCACGCCCATGTTTTCTTAATGATCTTATCTCCTACATTATCACTCGCTCAACTTTGCACTTATTTTGATTTAAAAAAATAATAAGCTGCTTCACGAAGTACAGAATGAAATTGTTTTGCTTTCTTCCTAACTTCCTTTTTAGTACAATCCTACACTCAGTGAATTCCTGCTAAGTAGCTCTCATAAATTTTCTCAATTAACCTGAATAAAAACTTATCAAGCTCACTTGATCTAGATACTTTTAGAAGAATTTTGCTTTTGAGTCAGAATTGTCAACGCTGTTTTTGCCAATAATTCGAAGGAAATATTATAAATTCGTAAAGAAAAATAAGCACAAGTGATAAGTAAATATAGGATATTAAATTTACTTCAAAAATGCTGCATTCAAGTTCTATAGCAACGTTTTCGATAGCTATGTCTACATTAATTGGTCCTAGTATGCAAAGTAATTCGATTATCTGATACATTTTTCTAGTATCCATTTGAAATCCCTGCTGGAACTGATTTTGCAATGCTAAGGAAATAGCCTGAAATAAAGTCATCTTCAAAACATTTTTTAAAAAAATCAGAAAATAATGATTGAAATAGAATTCGGCATATAATTAATTGCCTAATTTGTACCTGATTTCTCTACTACTAAGTTTATATATATACATTTTTTTTCGATGCTTCTTTAATTTGATCTTCTCGGACGTTTCGCTCTTAGTTGCATTAACATTTTCGAGATGTTTAACAGAAATTCTTCAAGCAAATGGTTTCTGAGTAGATATTATCTAATACCAACTTACATGGATTATAACATCATGGGGATAATTTAATGTTGTTTGATTGATAGTTGGATTTTCATCGATTAATTTATGAAAATATTTGGTACTCATATAAAGCACCCATTTTGAATATATTATTGAATACGCATCTGAACCGTACACGAGAAAATCTCTGTAAATTATTATTATATTCCATTAATTGCTGGAATATTTGCTTGCAGTGATCTGAAACGATATTTAATTGATCGATTGATCAGTAAAAATACCTGCAGGCTTTCATATTTGAGTGACAATTCCGAATTTCTCTATGTGTCAATGGTCGAAGTCTGCTTTTCTGTTTGACAAATCGCATGAATTCTGCTTCCTGATATATCATAAGAATGCTAAAACCGATTAAACCATTTCCATATTTCGTTGATGTAATAATGTTGTGCAATGATTCCAAAAATGGGTCCATACCACGCATGATAAATCTGTGTTCGAAATTCGTTTCCTGTGTTTCGTCCATTACTGCTGTAAAATTTGGGTATTTAAGTAAATGAAATTATTTTGTAAATAAGATTATAGTTAGGTAACTGAAATTATTTTGCCAATAAATTTTTCAAGACTTTCTTTAATTTCATTAATTGCTAATGAATTTTGAAGGTTAAATGAATATTATTGTTGGCCATTTTACTTCTTCGTTTATCAGATAATTTTGCTAATTCTGTAATTTTTATCTTCTTTTTTGTTGATATTACACTTGAATATTTATTAATAAAGTATTTTTCCATATAATTCGTCTTTTAATTTCAAATAAATTTCTTTAGATTTAATATTTGTTTATTTAAAATAAAATACCGAATAATTCATGAGAGGATAAGAAAATGAAGAAGTTGTATTATTTAATTTTGGCGTTCCTATCCAGGATTATTGATAAAAATATTTATGAGTGAATTAAATTTTGCAAGTACAAAACGGAAGTCGTGTTGGTCTTGAAATATCCAACAAGCATTCTACTCTTTTTCTACTGATCGATATATACTGTTACGATGGGAGTGCTAAGTTCTGCTCTATTTACTTAAATCCTATATATAAATTAGAGTAATAAATTTCAAATCATACTTTCTGTATCTACAGTATTATCAATATCTTTTGAAGCACCAAAACGTATTACAATTAATCCAGGAATTTGCATACGCAGCTCATTTTTACAATCCACTAGTAATTCAGGATTTTCTTGGCGAAAATCCGCTATATTAATTTTAAGTTCGCTGAAAAATATTGAATTTCATAAGAGATGCAGCAAAAATTCAATTTAATTAAGAAATAAAATAAAGACAATGAAATGAAATGTTGGCAAATTGTGTGAAATTTCATTTCATCATATAATTCGATTTATAATTACTTACATAATTCTCATACAAAGAATTTATGATATCATCGGATGGCATTTGTGTGCCTTTTCTCTATTTTCTTCCTTTGGAAAAAAAAGCCTTTCACTCTAATAAATCTTAAAATAAAAATTTTTCAACTTTAAAAACTGCATCACAATTGTATTAATATTTCTATGGAAGTCTTTAAATTTAAATTTAATACTGCATGATGTAATGCTTACAAGTAGGAAGTAAGTTAGCGAACATTATTATATCAAACAAAAAATCTAAGGTAAGCTAAGGTAGCTATTATAAATGAATGGAGGAGAAATTGAAATTTTCAAAGAATATTTTAATTTTTTTTTCGCCTACAATTCTATTGAACGTGGTCCATTTGCAACAATAAATGGTACACGGCATTCTTCTTGACGTAACATCTGCACTGGAATATTTATTCTAGTATCAAATATGAAACGAGACGGCATCAATTTATTTGGCTTTTCTTCTAATTGTGGTTGATCATCCATATTTTACTTAATTGGAAGCCCCTACTTGTACTTTGAAAATTAGTAAAAATGATTAACCTGTAAGTTTTTCCTCAATTTATATTAGTTGTTTAAATGTAACATTTTGCATTATTATTGAAGATTTGAATGTGATCAAAAATTTGCATTAGCCGAATTATAATTTTATTATTGAATGAGAAGATGAATAATTTACCATTAGACAATGACAGGTATATCAAATCTTATCTATTAGAGGTAATATCCATTATTCTCCTAATTAATATTGTCACTTTGCTCGGCATTCTTTCGACAACAGTTTCAACTTCTGCGATGGATTTTAATTTTGCTTGGGGATATTCTTTTATTTAATCGGAAGAAAATATTGCAATCGCTACAACAGTGATTGGCATTGGATTAAATTTTTATTAAATTTGTAATGACATGAGAAATGCTATTGTTAATGAAATCGCTCTGAACAATTTTCCTTTTTGGACTTAAATTACAAAATTCCGTCTTTTTACTTCTTTTTCAACTTTACTTTTCAATAGAAAAAATTACGTGATAACATTTATTTATGAATTCTTTCAATTTCATACGAATCCATCAATATTTCGAACAAAATCAAAATAATGCTTTTTGAGTTTAAGTGCTATCTTTATATTTCTATCAGTATTTTAGAGTGATTAGTTCAAAAGAAGCCAATCGTTTATTGCTTACAAAAATACATTATGCAATTTTAAATTTGAACGAAACTGCAAGTGTGAAGAAATGATATGTGAGAGAGATAAACAGATTTTACTGCAAATTTAAAAAGTAAACAATAGGTGAGAAAAAAGTCATGGCACATTATCAGTGTTAAGACTATGATATCACTTATTCTTCTTTAATTCGCAAACAACTGTTAGTTCATTTAAATTTTCGGAATATGCTCTGCAATATTTTGTTGAAAAAAGACAATCTTAAATCGATTTTGCCTTTTTTTGAAGATAAGTGTGCAGGAAAATAGTAAAAAATAAAATATGTTTAGAAAAAGAATTTAAAGATAATTTTCAAAGTGTAATATTGAGAGATTGAAATATCCAACAAAAGAAAAATGATATTTGTGGTAGAATATTTACAACTAAAATAATCAAAACTTGAATTTGAATTTTATTGTTCAATTTCGTCAATTATAAAGCTATAAAGTTTGACTTAATGTTAATTTTAAATCGAAGATATTCCATTTGAGGCATATAATAGCTGTCTAATTATTTGCTATTTCGATAATAAAAAGAACTAAAGTGCTTTTGATGAATACAGAAATATCCATAATAAAAATAAGGAAGTATGGGATACAAAATGACCAAATATATTCAATGATATGAAACAAACCATTCCAAGGAAGTGATCGAAATAGTGCCCATTGGTTACAACCAAATTGAATGGAATGAACGCCCAATAGAAGCCAGGCATTCTACGTCAATGATACTATCTTCAACGCATTCATATATTACAATAATGCACAATTGATTTTTTTTGAGGTAACCGAAATTTGGATGAAATGAATCAATCAATTTTTCAGCATAATCATATGTTTAGTATATTTGGCAACTATTTCTTAGTTTACTGTATTTTGATTATCATTTCGTGAGATTACATTGCAGAAATTGTAGAAATGCTTAGAAGGAGAATGAAAAATGCATTTGATTATCATTGTATTCATCTTTCTTTATTTGATTATATTTGATATGCTATGATAACATTCAAAAATATAGTAATAAAAATAGAGATTGACTATAATGAATAATAAAGCTCGACATGGCATTTGTATAATTGAAGATGGAAAAGTTCTTATGGGATGCCTTATGGCGAGTAACGAAGAGTTAATAGTAAAATAGAAATACCCGTTACTGTTATGCGCTTAAAACAATACCATCTCAATTCATATTTATTGAAAGTTTATCTAAATAAATAAATAAACAGAACAGAAATATCTGAACAAAAGGAAACTTTTAATTTGATATGTATATGATAAATAATTAACAAAAGTGAATAAACAATTGAGAATTAGATGTAAGTCGCTAATTTGATCTATACATCAACAAGAACTAGTTTAAATTAACTGAATTTTCATAGCTGTATTATATCATCAAGCCAAATTTATGTCAACAATAATTGATAAAATGTTTTCACCACTTACTGAAATATATAACAATTGAAATGTTGAATGTTGAATTATTATTACTATTATTAATTAATAAATTATTACTGTTATTCATTAACTGTAGAACTGGTCATTTATATTCTATATGGTTCGAAGTGTAATTTTGTACAGAAATTGGAAAAACATTTTATATCCATTACTGTCTAGCAAAGATAACTCTCGAATGGCATTCGATCACTTCATTATCTATTCTTGCATACTATCAGTGTCACATATCCATAAATAAATAACTTTATAGCCTTCTCGAGTTAGCCATCTTAAGGGCTCTTCTTTTAATGTTTGTCAGTCGATTTTAAAAACGACAAAGCCTGAATAGAATTTGGAGTAAGGTTTAACATTTAGTTTGACATAATTGCAAGATTATTACAAAGATTTAAATTACGTAATCATCTTTTTTCATTCTTCATTTCTTTGAGGATTAATTATTTTCGATGTACAGCCTGAAATGCATGACCTCAAACTTGCTAAGCAGTTGCATACAAATGGATTTTATGGAGGCAGCAGTTGAGCATGCTTGCTATTTCATAAAGTTGCAGCAACTCAAATATCGTCTTTTGACCTTTGAATTTAACAATCGAACTTTGTTATTGCCCACAATGAATCAGACTTTGGTACTGCCCACCTTCCCGCTAATGTAGAAGGTGCTCCCATGGCTAACAGTATGCATACTTTAATCTTCTTAACGGGAATGACCTAGGACCGTCCCGAGACTTCCCTCTCAATCACAGTACTATGTAGAATATAACGAGTGCAGCTATTCTATCCCTCCTTCTACCTCTGCCTATCGCACCGCTCCATACATGCTCCCACATCAATCGATGGGTGTGCGTATGCGCTTGTGTGTATGGGTGTGTGGGTTGAATGATTGGATATATTTGAGGTGTGGTAAGAGTGCTATTGACTGATCTGTTGAGCGGATAGTGGTGGTGACGTTGCGAATGCCATCTGGTTACGTCTTGCTGCTTAGAAGTTTTGCAGTTTATAAGGTGTTGTTTTTCGTGTGCTGAAATGTCATATATATAATTTTTTTATTTTCTGCATTTATAAAATCCTTGCCGTATGATTACACGTCAGTAAAATCCTTTCCGTATGATTACACGTCAGTTACGCATGAGCTATAATGATGTGTAAAAAGACACGTGATATTTGCGTAGTACCGTCATATATAATAAATATAAATTACAAATTCTCTTTTTGATTAACATTGAAAATCATTCGTCAGTAATTTTTCAGCAATTGAGGAAGTTGGCGACACACCATAGTTTTTATTCTTTTCTGCATTTATAAAATCCTTGCCATATGATTACACGTCAGTAACGCATGAGCTATAATGTTATATGCACTTATGTGAATATTGGTAAACGGATTATTGAGAGATGTGTTGAAAGACATGTGGTATTTGCGTAGTGCCATCACTTTGTCTTCATCGATTTTTAACTTTTGTGTGTTAAGACGTCGCTGATCAATGGTTTTTATCAATTACATGGCACCATGTTACAGCTCATCGATTTTTCGTTCTCAGGTGTAAATAAGAGTCACTTATTGATGTAAATGAAAGAGATATGTATCGAAAAATCATCCATTTGGTGTCTTTTGCAGCACTCAGTGCAGAAATGGATGGTGATGACGATGAGATTCGGGAAAAGGTGGAAAAATATGCACGAATGTTAAGCTGTGATAATAAAGTCAGTGATAACTTCGTTGTTTTTTTGTCTTAGAGCTCTTTGCAAATTATTTCGTTGGATATCCTGATTATTCTGAAGTTAAGCTTCATAATAAAGTATGTTACATCATTATTTCCGAATAAACAGTTACGACAAAGTATATTTCAGGTTGGCCATGCTTTGAGACGGTTAGCAAACATTGATATGACAGTGGAACTGTTATCAGAAACAGGAGTGGGAAAAGCAGTGAATCAGCTAAGAGGTCACGAGCAATATGGCACAAAGGCATTGCGAATTGTTGAAAAGTGGAAAGATATAGCAAGAAGTTGTGGCCTGAAACAACGAAGGTTTTGATTTCAAGGATCTATTTAAATTTAGAAATAGAAGGGATAAATTTGAGACGAATATAGGGACATTTGATGGAAACGATGAGTAATTTGGAAATATAAATTTTAGGAAACGATTTTTCTCACCAAGCTCAGAACGAGAAAATCCCATAAAAAAGTCGAAGAAAGAGAATTGGGGAAAGGAAAAAAAAAGCGAGAATGAAAAAGGAGCAGGTTATAGTGCTGTTGAAATTCACGATAATAAAACTAAAGTAAGTTGCATTTCCTTAGCATCAATGCAGATCACTTCACTTTGCAATTTTCCGTCTTGAGATGAATTTTTTTTCTTATTTTGTTTGGTATGTTTGTTCTGAAGAGATTATAGCGAGTCATAGCATCCAACTGCGCCGAGTGAATAGCTTTTCACTGAGCGAATAAATTTAGTCACATAGTTTTTTTATTCCGTAAATCTTGCACTGCTCTGTTTCAGCCATCAAATAATGGACTAGAAAATGCTTGCACGGGTTTGAGCTTTGCAGACATGTTGGCTCTAGCCGATACTGCTAAACCATCTAAACTAAAAAAAATGAAAACTGATTGTAATGATTGGAAATCGTCGAAAGTGGATGTAAATTATAGACCCTCCAAAGTATTGAATTTTGAACCCATACTCAAAGAGAATCATGCTGGTATGGTTTTAATCTGCTTCAGTTAGATAATGGTTATGGATTTAATATTACTGGGATTCATTGCTAATTTATTAATATGTCCTACTGCAGTTGTTTAAGGTGGGAAGACAATAAGAAGATATTCAACATCAAAGTGCAGTTTATTGAAGAATTATATAATATCAGGAATTATATAGTAAATATTATTGTTTTTTGCTGTCTTTCATATAAGTAAAATGTTTAGCAATACCTTTAGAAAATTTGAATTCAAGTAGGTCAATAATTTTTGATCTTTTTGGAAATCTTCATCTCGATGTGACTTTTTTACTGTTGTTCTGTGAAGTATCCAAATTTTTTTAGATATATCCAAAACAGCCATTGTGGATGCGTTGATGTTTAAGCCACGCAAATCGGTGCGTAAAATCTATGCTGGTCGTTCGAAGAATGATGCTATTAAGGAAGTACCGACGTTGCAGAATTTATGTATTAAAATACTAATTGCTAACATTAATTGTTAGTTTCCTTTTCTTATAATTCAAAATTATATCAAGGGTTTTCGATGTTATTCGCTCAGCATGAAATGGATTTTTATATTTCGAATGTACTGTGTGGCGTTTTCTAAATTTCTTTTTTCTTTATACTTCATGTTTGCTCAAAGAAGTTCCGTAGGTTCAGAAGATTGGAATTTGGCCATGAAAACTTAGGCTTGTGTCGAAAGCAGTTTAAAATATTTTCAACTACTTTCATTAATTTTTCAGCATTTTCACTAATTTTTTCTTGAATAATTTCGGTAGTCCTTTTTGCAGACATTGACGGTTTGGTAAATTGTATAATATAATAAATATAAATTACAAATTCTCTTCAATTGACATTGAAATCATTCTACACATTTTTCAGCAATTGAGGAAGTTGGCGACACACCATACTTTTTGCTGAAACCAGTGCTTGAGAAGTGCTCTCTAAGTCAGTTATGTTTGATTGAAAGGCGAAATCCGGTAAGCATAATGAAACAGTTTGCAACAAAATGCAAATTTTAGCTTCTTGCGTGAAAAACAACAGCTACATTTCCTTTTAAAGTTTGCGAGTTCGAAAAATTGGTATTCAAAAAAAGAAAAATTGGTATTTTCCTTCCAAAGTTTGCGAGTTCGAAAAATTGGTATTCAGGAAGATTTTTTGCTGGAAATAATTTATTTTTGTATCTGAGCCAACTGTGTCTGATGATGAATGGTATATTTGCTTTGAATCTCATTTGCGTTCTTTAGTAAATATGATGAAAATGATTTTTTTTCGTAGGACGGAAAATAACGGTGTGTAAATTAGTTCAATCTATTGAGTAGTTATAAATTTGGCTACTTTAATAACTAAAATAAACCACTTTAAAATAAAATGATTCAATAATTTTTTTACAGCAACTAATGGAAGATAGTGATGAGTTGTGGGAGCGGATTGTAAATCGCGCCTTTCCAAAATGTGAAATAGCACATGATGAAACATGGCGAGAGTGTTATTATGTCAGTTTTTATTTCATTTTATCGTATGAAATAAGCGTTCGAAAAATCAATATTGTGAAAAATGCGATTTTATAATATGTAAGGATTTGCATCCGATGAAAAGCATATCCGATTAAATGTGAGAGATTCACATGCTTCGATCTTATAAAAAAAGTAGAAAATGTCTGTTCTCGGAGAAGCTTGCACATCTCTATTGGCTGAATAAATGAGCTATGTCTTGCTAATATATAGCAAAGCAATAGCTGATGAGGAAGATAGCTGGAGAAGGATGAGTTACTACCTGTTATTGAAAAATGATTGCATTGTAGCGTTTATGTGAGGAAAATGAGCGTAAACTGAAGTTGCTTTCAACAAAAATAACTCAGCATAATCGAGAAGCAACTGCACCGATAAAGACAGCGCTGCTTGCGGATGCAAAAGCTCCACGTGAAGTTCGCCGACGACAAATACGTTACGGTACTCAGCATGCTGCTCATCCATTGCCATCTGCTAATGAAATTTCAAAAGCACGGAAAGAAATTTTTGTTAAAGGTTAATCTGTGATTCGTTATCTCTTTTAATACTTGTCTGTTTTATGGACATACAAATTCGCCTGCTTTCTATTTTAAGGATAAATTCTTAGGTTATTTTTTTTCAATTTGCTTGATTTTAGGAGAATCTTTCGGGAGAAAAGATATTTTAAATATAGTTTCCAAGTCTGATAATTTATGATTATGCATTCCAGAAGTTAGGGATTACATTTTTGTTATTTTTTCCATCGATTCCAGCTCAGGTTGTTATAGTTGTAAGTGCCGATCAAAACACTCTGTATCTTCGTTTTCGGTTACTTTATTTTATTTTTAGTTTCAAAAATGTGAATTTTCATTATTATAATCAAATGAATACGTTATCTCAATTGTATAGTTAGTGACGTTCTAATGATTTCATTCACTGATTAGATTAAATTACAGGAAGCAAGGAAGCTTTGGCCAATTTACCCCAAGCAGTCAGAAATACTAGTTCTTCATTAAGTTCGCATTCAGAAAAGAAGAAAGTGGTACCGAAAAAAGGAGCGTTGATGATAAAAACGCTGAGAATGCTCAATGTAAAACGTAGAAGATAATAATTATTTTCAGTTTGAGAATTATGAAAACCAAAAGTTAATTGCAAAAGAGTTATGCATTTCGGAGCAAAAATCAAGTAACCGTCAAAGTGAAATTCCAAATGTAATTAAACTTAAAACTTTAAAGCCCTTAAATTATTGGACTTTTGTCATCATGAAGAATTTTCTGAAACCAATGAGATCATTCCTTTTTTAATCCTAAAGATTAATGAATCACAGCTTATGATTTCAAAGCAACGAGGAAGTTGAAATTATTCTAATCCATTATCGATTCTTACATATGCTCTGGAACTTCAAAGCGACGACTTAGATGTGTTGACTGTTTTAAGTAATTGTGATAAAAACGTTGTGGCAATATTATTTAAAAGAGAAAGCTCGAGTTTTAAAGATTTGGATTTTTTTGGTTTTCTAATATAGTTTTCTCGTGATGGCATCGCTTTTTTATATTCTTCAAACTAGTCATATTCACCTTAATGTGTTGATTTTTCTTTTTTGGTGGCAGATGTGAAAATTTCGGTTCATTTTTTATTTCTTTTTCTTAATGTTCGGGTTTTTTGTTTTTTGTGAAGTGGTTGTTGTTTGAAAGTTTATTGTTAAATCGAATTTTTCTGACAAAAAGGAAATTGGATATAGGTTACCTGTCACTGCTTATTTGCTTGTGTATTTGAAGTATTAATGATAGCAAATATTATTAGGATGTTATCGACGCTAATGGGTTTTTCTCCCATTTAATATATAGTAAAAGATTTTGTTACTGTTGCATGCTATAATAGGTCATTTTGTCTTTGATCATTTTTCATTTTCCTGAGTTGCTTTTTAATTTTTTTTCGGTATGAAAATTTTAAACTGTATACATTTGTATTATATATATTTATTATATAGCTCTTTATAAAAGGTAATTTTTCCAGTTATTTACATTTGCTTTCAAAGAAATATTTGGTGATATTGTTTGTCATTCGCTGCAGCATGGATAAATATGTTCTATCGCTTTCATTTGGTGAATTGCAAACTCGGATTTCCATTTTGAATATTTTAATTGGTTACTGACGAAATATTTAATTATCATTTGCATCTGTATTGGGTAGGCTTTGTCATCGCTGTAGAACAACACTATGATGGGATATTAGTGAATTTATTATTATTTGGTTCTTGCTAACTGGGCAGTCTTTTGGGGGTATGTATCCGAAGCCATGTTTGTGAAAGGAATCAGAATGTAATCAAAGTTCAAGAAACTATAAATTTAAGTGACGTTAGTTTATAGTGGCTATAAGCGATTTTTTTTTCTAGTAAATCGCCATGGTCTACACCGATTACTGAGTGCCTGTCACGACATTCTAGAGCTGTTGATGAGTGTATTCTTTATTGATGATTTATAAGCCTTATAAAAGATAGTTATTGATTTCCATTCTCTGGGCAACAATTTGTTTCTATGCGAATCACATTCCGACAGAAGTTTTCGTATTTGCCTCACTCTTATGAGGCAAGTACGAAAAAATTCCAGTAGCCAGATCAAATTTAGCAGCACACTCTATTCTGTTTCTCTCTCGCGCTATCGTAACCATTGGTTCTATAGCTGTCGAACTCTTTCCGGTGGTTTACTTATGTTACAAATTGAGACTGACTTTTGACCCTAAGAATGGTAAGATTTTAGTGATGGTAAGATGCTACACTTTTTCTTAATTAGTCCAGAATATTAGAAGTTTTCCTCCATCTGCAAGAAGTGACAACCAGCTTCATTTTATCACTTGGTTGTGTAAAAATGATTGCTTACGCGTTATCATTGTTTTCATTTTTTTATAGTAAAGTTAGAACTCAGTGAGCGTTATCGGTAGTAATGTAGTGACCATAAGTTTCGAAATTTTCAGGAATCTGAGTTTTAAAAAGAGCATATTGTTTGCGTGCTCTATCGACAGCGGTTAATTGTATCAGTTTCACGCATTTTATCATAAATCATTCGCATCGTTCGCGATTTTCTGGTCACTTTTACAAGTATTCAAGTATTACTGATCTTTTCCGAACTTATTGGGGTCTCACTTGTTAATCCATTTCTTTCATTTTTGTTTTTCATGCAGATTTAGATTTTCCTTATACAGATTTAGATTTTCCAGGGATGAACGGTTATTATCGGAGCGGACCACGTTTTGATCGTATCGATCAAGATGAAGTTCCCGAAAGCAAGCACACCGTATTTATTAGAGGCCTTCCTGGACATATTAAAACAGATGAAGTGAAGTAAGTTGCTTCATATTTTTCATCCATAACTAGAATTAAAAAGTATTTAATTACTTAATAAAAATTAGCGTAAGGAGAAATAGAATTCAAAAACATACTCTACTTCTCATGATTTTGGGACAAAAATATAAGCAGAGGCAGTGGATAAGAAAGCTGCGGAGTTTATTTTCCTCTTAGCATCTTATTATCTGAACTAGTTATACATTCACCAGAATATCTTGTATAAAAAAGACAGGTGAATTCCTTTATTCTTCATTTACTTCCGAACCCTCTGCTGGTGCTTTGTACTGTTATCTCGAAGTGCAGTTTTACGGTAAAAAAGGTAATCAATGGATCAAAATGTTGATGTTATTACAGGCGAAATTTAAATTTTGTGTTATCTTGAAATACTTGTATGTGTTACTTCCACTCTTCTTTTTGGAACGATAAGGCGGAAATCTTGTGGTTTATTTGAATGAATTATTGTCATACATACAGCAACATTTTCACCGAATCTTACTCTCTTGGCTGAATTTTGTTTGTGGAGAAATACACTTTGTGCTGGCGCAGTTTCCATGTGCTTTACCTTTGAGTAGGGAATTTGCAAAAATACCAGTTTATTCTCTTGGTTATTACTCTTGTTACATTGTCGATTTGGACTAAGGTAAGTAAAACGAATTGAAGCAAGGATTTTTTGTCTTGCCAAAGTTTTTGATATTTTTTTATATTTTCTTATTATTGGCTTGAATTCTAATCCTGCTGCAATTATCTTTCCATCCTAAACATTTTCAGGGATTTTTTCGAAGACCATGTTGGGCCGTGCTCATTTGACTTTATCAAGCTTTCGCAGGATCAACTGAAACTATTTGTGGCAGTGCGTTTCGAAACGCGTGATGCTGCAAAAGAATGCATGCATAAGTACATTTTAATTTTATTTTTATATAACGGTAATTTTATCGAAATATTGACTCCTATATATCTTGTAATAAGTTTTAGGTTTTGGGAAAACTCTTAAGTTTTTTAGTCTAAATGGATTTCAGATACAAAGATGGTGATGTTCTTGGTTACCCGGTTGAAATGACCTGGTTTCGGGACATACGACGTTATGTGTCGTATCAACAAAGTCAAGGTAATAAACTTTTGCTTTTCATAATAAAAGTATTAGATGAATTATGAGAAGTATTCAGTAAGATAAGTAATTTCTTCTGAATCTTACAGCGAATATTAAGTATAGCAAACTTTATGAGTTTTTCAAAAAAAGCTTTATTTCCAGGTCTTCGACCTGCTAAAGTTCCTCGTAATCGGGGTTATACTGGTCGCAATCGGAATAGCTACGATCGTTCGTCAAGAAATGATTACAGGTATGAATGTTTCACGTAATTAACTGAATAAGTACGTTATTTTCATCACTTTTACTTATTATTCAAGTTTTGATGTTCCAAAATATTTGTTGAAGTATACACGGAATTAGGGTATAAAGATAGATTAAGGTTTTCTATCAGTAGAACATTCGGTAGTTGTTTTTCATCATTTACACATAATGATTCTTTTTTATTTGTTACTGACTCTCTCCTTAATTTTCCGCATACTGTATGATCCATTTTGGCAAGTGGTGAATTTCACGCGGAATTTTAGAGAACATCTTTTAGAGATGATGATGATTACGATAAGGGGAGCAAAAGAAAGTGCGCATCGTCGGATGATGAAGGCTCTAAAAAATCTCGCTCATCCAATAGGTGTCATTTTTTTGGGTGCAGATCGGCGCATTACATCTTGTTGAACTTTTTCATTAGTAAATGTAAAAATGCAAACTTTCTTTTGTCTTGTGTTCATGAAATGCTGTTCATAGATATCTCAGAAATAGAATTAGTTGAATTATTTTCAGTTCATCGCGATCGCCAAGTCGTAGTCAGCTTCATTCATCACATGAACGTTCAGCGAGCCCTGGTAGTCTCAGAAGTCGGCGTAGTGAAAAATCTCACCATTCCCAATCTCGCGCATCTTCATATTCGGCACTGGTTCATGAACGTCCTTCTTCACCAGCTCCACCAGCTTCGTCTCCACAAATTAAGCGAGAGGTTGTGGTCTATCTTAATTATTTTTAAATCTTAAACTGCTGAGGATTGTATTCCTGAATTTGCTTCTACCATTGATTTGAAGTGTTATGAAAAAAAAGCATTAAAGAAATATAATAATAAAGAGTTAGCTTTTATATGCTGTCATCTTTTCTTAAAAGTGCCAATGTTTCAAATGTTGTCTAAACTAGTTAATTTTTTTACTGATTTTAGGCCATTGAAAAAGGTGAAACTCCACCGCTTCCACCACTACCTCCTCCGCCAAATGCAAAATCCGATGACGTGGAACCGAAAAAATCAAGCCCGGTTTGTTTTCGTTAGCAGATTGTTTATTGTTCCAGTATACCGATTATTTTTGAAAGAGAATGATATGGATTTAAAACATTGGGCTTAACCTCAGATTTCACTAAACCATTACTCATGCTAAAAAATCACGATGTCACTTTTATATTAAGATTAAGTGAAAACATTTTAAGATATTGCATGTGCTTTTTGTAAATTTTTGTTATTTGAAAACATTTCTTTAATGGAACATTCTCCGGATGTTTTAAATATTAAATAGATGGAAAATTCAAAAAAGGGACTATATTTCCGAGAAATATTTTTGCAGAACCATAAAAATTTGTTTTAAATTTTATAATTTATATGCCGCTGAATTGTGCAACATGAAACGTGTTCAGTGAATAAGGCAATGAAAACTAAAAAAATGTTAGACCTAACTTGTATGAGTAAAAATTTTAGACTTTTTCTGAGAGTTGTCGAAAGAGAATTATAACTGTTTATGATAGTTCAGAGTGGTTCGCAGTCTCCCGCTGAACGCAAATCTCGAAAATCGAAAAAAGGCAAGAAGAAGCGTCGACGTCGTAGCCCATCATCAAGTTCCCCCAATTCAGTTAATGAACACACATCCGATGAACTTAGTGAGAGCGAGCTCCGGAAAAAAATTTTAAAAAAACGAAAAGAAGTTTTAAAAGACATCGAAGAAGGTTAGTTTACTTATGGGTGGTACATATTTTATAAAAACATTACCTTCTGTTACTTGATACCAGTGAACTTTTATTCAGCAGCAGGGAGTTTCAAGCTTAAGTGTGGCATGGGCGATCACTCACTTTATAATTTAACTATTTTCGAATTTCTCGCACGTTGCTTGCGGTAAAATTGCCTTTTAAGGTTTGAAGCCGGTAGTAAAACCAACTTTGGGGAAATGGGAAGAGCAGGAAGCGGAAACAACACTACTACAAAATACCACATTAAAGTTTGGTTTAGAAAGCACGGTAAATATTACAACCTTAATTCTCTTCAAAATCTCTCTATAAGCAGTTTATATTCAATTTTTTTCTTCTTGAAACTAGTTGCAGTTTCCACTTTGATGGTGCTATTTGCTTAAAACATACGAATAGTTTCCAAAATTCATTCCTTTTTCTCTGCTTTTTCATAAGTAACTATTTTGTTTTTTTTTTTTTTTTTTTTTTGCAGGAGGATGTGCCAAAACGAGTTTTGCGTGATACAGCCCATCAATTTCAACCCTCAAAACATGTAATTTCCCAGATGAACGTAAACAAACTTGATGGGATTGGAATGGTAATTTATCCTACTCATTTTGTTTGTTTAATGTCGTTCTTATCTTCAATTTACGGCTTTTTATAAACACACGTTGATATATTTTGCGCATATTGTGTTGCTAAATTCTAGTATAACTTATAAAATGCATATTTCTAGTGTTTTGGGGTAGCAATTGCATGGATTTTTATTATCGAGAAGGGTTTTTGGATGGTTCCATTGAATAGGAATATTTTCATTTGATATTTTGATTTTCCGTGGAATATTTCAGCATTCTACAATGCCGCAAGCAGCAGGAATTGAAAATTCATTCTCGTGTAAGAAAGGAGCCAAAGAATTAGGTAAACTTTCATACTCGATATATCTGAGCATTCATTTTCAATATCTTTTCGGGAATTTTCGTGCTTGTAGATTTAATAATGCTTAAATCGGATTAATAGTAGAGATGTTAAAGTGATTGTTTTATAGGAAAACAGCTGGATCTACCGAAAGGCGAAGCACCATCGGGTGCATTATTTGCAAGCGATATTGATGCCTTTTTGGGAAAACGTGAACAGATTGGTCCAGTGAATGATCTCAAAAACACACAGGTTCATTTACGTCTCAATGCTCTTTTTCTTTTCTTCTGATAAAATTATTGATAATGTTACAAATAACTAATAATTTTCCTAAAATTGAGAAAAAGAATAACGCTCGAAAATGATTGCAATACTTAACGGTTTGCACATCTGTCTTCATAGCCATTGTTGGATTGGGTTTATCGTTCTTGTAAGCTATTGGAAAGGCGCAGAAAAACAAACAGATTATGTTTGGGAAGCTAAGTACGTGACAGGATTCAAATGAATTGTCTTTGAAAGAATCTTTGAAAGAACCTATACGTTGTTGTCAAAAACAAGTCATTGTGAAACAAAAAAGAAAACGACCAGCGAAATGCTGTAAAGACTACATTGCGGTAATTGGTGCAAATCTACCCAAAACGGAAGGCGGTTAATGAAACATTCAGTTACTGGACACGTAGTAAAATACAGTTTTGTTTTTATCCATAGAAATAGATAAATTTCATCGATTTAATGCTTCCAAATTCTTGCATAAGAAGGAAAAATGAGTAGCAATTGATGTTATGAAAGGACTGGGTGTTTGACGGATTCATTTCAGCTGATATTTTGCAATTTATGTCAATAACATGTGAATTGTTAGCCTTATCATTCGAACTTTTTACTATTTTTACTACCTTGTTCAGGATATTATTTTGCAGCAATAATTATAAAAAATCTTTAAACGTGAACAACGAACTTCATTTGGTAATCTGACACTAATTTTAGACAATTTTTGGACTAAAGAAGATTTTTTTATTTCAAGAGCTAAATGCAACAAGTAAAAAAATTGAATTTAAACAAAAATCACATGACAAAGCGAATCATTGAGTGTGCTTTAGGCCATTTAGTAGATGAATTATCTGAAGGTCAGCTTTAATGAGAGATTTTGTTCATCGTGTTTTCCGTGTTCTGAAAAGTATAAATCGATGTCTTCTGCAATATGTCTCTAAAGTAAACGGTAGAGAAATTTCTGTTGGAAGCTTATATAGAGAAAATTGTATTGAAAATATGGGTGGTCCCGATGATTGAAATTTTTTTTTTCTGTGTTTTTTAGACCAATGTATTCGGAACAGCTCGTGGACAGCAGTTGATTTCGTTTTTTGATGATGCTAATGATACATTGCAACCCGCGCAAGGAAGTGAGTGCTTTACGATTTATTTTAGACAAGAAAGCTTAGAATTTTTCGGTACAATTTCGGTTGATTTTACTTAATTTGTTTAGAGATTGAGATTTTACATTTATCTTTTGAAGCGTTTTGTTATCGCTGAAACGATGCTTTACCAGTTGAAATGTGTACCAAACTTGACTATTTCAAAATAGCAATATGCTTGCTTTCCAAAGCAATATTCCTCCCCCTCTTCCCCATCAGATGGCTCTTTCATATTCAGTTGATGGTAAACCTTGTTGGTTTGGAGATGTATTTTTATTCACGAAATGCTTAGTGGATTCACTGTGTTGAGAAGTGCATCTCATTTGCATAATTATCCATCTTTTAATTGCTGGAGACATGTAGTATACTGTAACATTCTTTCAGTGCCAATTTAGAAGCTAAGGTGTCTTCTCGTATGGTCAAATATTATCATGGATTTCATCATAATATGCATAATTTTTAACTGCTAATACCTTTTTTTCCCCTCTGTTGCATCTGAATCAGATTCTCCAGCTCGACGCCATATGATATAAAAATATATGAAGCAAAGTGCCATCATTATAATTGCAAAGCATTCTCTCTTTTAAGCCCTGCGATTAAGCTCGCTAACGCGTCAGTTAAATGCAGAAACGGAACGTGAACGAAAGCTTGCTCGTTTACCACCGGAAGTGCTTACTAAGTACACGACGAAGAAAAAACAACTTGAAGGGGTTATCTTTTTTTCAACACTGGATATGTTTTTCACTCTAACTTTTTAAATGAAGGGATAGTCTTCGTTTTTAAACTTAAATTACCCTATACTTTGTCGGGAAGAGTTTTTGTTCCATTTTTTGCTTCTGTCGAAGTTGTTTGTTTGGAAGGAATTTATAGTTACGGAAGCTTGATATTTACAGGCATTTAAAGCAGATCGAGAGACGTTTGGCTTTGTTACGAAGATGCTGATCGAGAAAGATCCAGGTCTGGAAGATCGTCTTTGGTTAGCGCTTGCTGAAGCAATAAAAGATATGGAAGAAGCATTCACTCGAAAAATGGACCACTATCTTGATCAATTAATTATGTTCATTTCCATGTGACTACAAATATTTTTAAACAGAAATTAATTATAATTACGAGCAAAGTAAACTTTTGATTTATATGTTTTGAAATAGAATTTTTGGCCAATTTTACAACTGATTTATCTTGCAAGTGAGTTCCAATGTAGTGGTATCTATTATTTCGAAAAAAATTTTTTGTCCTTTTATTTCAATAATTCAAAATTTCTTGTTTATCAATATCTGATTTTCATCAATATTCCGCTTTTTATTTGTAGTTTCGAATGTTATTGGTTGTCTCCGGATTTGTTTTTGTTTCAAAATTCTTCATTTACTTTGAGAAGTGTGGTTTTCTCTCAATAATAAATTATGGAAAAAATATTTGTCAGTGTATTACTATCCTACCTTCGTTGAATTTTTCCTTAAAATCATGACTAAATTGAAGCTTAAAATTTCCTTGTTTGGTCGTTAGTAGTGTGCGTATTGTTGCTTGCCTGTATCGTATAAATTCTTGTAAAACGTTTCGTTAACACTTCAATTCCAGTTATTTCCATTTATTGTAAAATATTTCTAATGACAGAAAATATCATATCAGTTTATTCGAATGAAAATGCTCGTAATAACATTGAATATTTGGAGTTTTCTACTTTGCCTATTCATCTATTATGATAAACTCACGGTTACAAAAATCATATTTTTTAAGTTGAGCAGGTGAGAATTCTAAGGGGAAGGAAACTCCAGGCAAGCACTTTAAAGTGAAGAGGTTTTCCCAGCTTAGAGGCTCGAAGCTTTTGTGAATGCGACAAGTAGATGTGCAACGATTTCGATGAAGTTGTTCATTATGGGAAACGAGAGGGTAGTTTGTTTTTCAAATCAATTCTTTGTATTTGCGTTTATTCTTAAATATCTGCTTTTACTAGTCGAGGCAGAATTAGTGACTGGTCAGTTTCCAAGTTCAGCAAGAATTCTCAATACTGTAAGAAGCATTATTGCATTTGGGGGTATGCGAAATGGTTAACGAGCGTAACAAGTATCTGAAATGGACGTTGCGGTACATTTATGGATATCGTAACCTCTGTCTTTCTATCATCGGCAAACAAATCTTACTCAATGATCATATGAAGTTCTTGCTATTTATAATTCATTGAATTTGCAGAAAAAAATAGGTTGGAGCAGCTTTTTGACAAATACTGCATATTGTTTATGAAACGACTTGAGCAGCAAAAAATTGGTGTCTTGGTTTGTTTTAAGATAATTTTCACTTTCCGTTCGAGATTTTATTATGTTTTTTTTAAATGTTTTGTCAAAGGATTGCCATGAAGAAAAAGAAGCAACTTGTATTGAATTGCTGATTGCGTATTTCAATTAGTACAGTTCGGTATCATCACTGAATCTGTGATGTTTTTTAGACCGTTGGTGATTTATTTGCGATTGTAATCAAATATGGTTTCAAGGAGGCGGCTTTTCGACGTTTCAAGGAAATTGCTCCTCGCTGGATGTGTAGGAGGCTAGAAGTTATAATGCGTAACAAAGGATTATATGGGTTACCTCGTAATCTCGATTTTGTAACTATGTAAGGTTTTGAGTGGGTTAATGTTATAATGCCATTGGTTTAAAAATTTTCAAATTGAAGTAATTTTTTTATCCAGTGCTAGAATTAATCTCATTGCGCTAAATTTTGTTTTTTACAAACGAAATTCTGAAATCAATGGTACTGTAACTTTTTTCAATTGAAATTGTTATTTATTAAGAGGTCATTTCTTTATTCAAAAAATTCATATAAAATCCGATTTAAGTATCTTTTAGAAGGAACAATATCTTTCAATTCCTTTTCAGCAGAGGACAGTCCATTAATAGCCATGAAATGTTGTAAAGCGTAATTTTGAATGCTGTGCGAAAGCTGAAAAAGACATTTTTACGTGACATTTTGTCATAATTTATGAGTAATAAAATTAAAATCCTATCATGGAGCATGCCTAAATGTAATCTTCCTGAATCACTGTGCTATCCTAATGATTTTGGAAAAAAGAGAATCCACTGAAACATTTGAAGAAATCAGTAGACTGAAGAAATCATCACTGATTTTTTCAAATGTTCTTGCGTAAATTTATTTATAGCTTTGTTATACCTGCATTTTTCTTTCATTCATATTATAAAAATTAAAGTGCCAGCGAGTTTAAAAATTCAGCTCACTACGTTCTTGTAGCTAGCTTCTTCGCGAGACATTTCAGAAATATTTTCATTTCTAGGTTCTTAGAAATAGATGATTTGGAATGTTCTCTCGATTATTCAAAATGGTTGGAAGAATTTATGACTCCTTTTCTTCGGTTGGTTCAGTGTTTCATTTCATTGCTGAAAATTTTTATTCATTTTTACTCAATTTTTATTCGTTTCTATTCATTGCTGAAAATTAGATACAGAAGTGTACTCTTTCAGTTTACCTTCGTTTCTGTGTCTTGATACAACCTTCAGTTTGGAAACAGGAAAAGTTTCAGTATTTAATTTCTTAAAAACGAAGTCCCTTAAGAAGTATTGCTGATTGTTTAAAATTGTATAAAAGACGAGGAGATGGACATTGACTGGCTCAATTGTCATGATAAGGCACTGTGTTCTGTAGTACTTTTATTTTACTTTAAACATTTGATTATCCTTCCTTCTGCAATAATTATTTGCAAAGCATCCGATAACTCCATATTATTCATTTATCGCTATTTTTTTCCTTTCTTATACAGAGAAAAAGATGGTATTTATCGTGAAGTGCGCCAGCATGACTTCAAGCAACGAATTATATTAATTCGAGAGGCAGTATTAAATCAAGATTGGTCGAAAGTTGGCGCTTTTTTAGGTGAAGATATTAATAATCCAAATGTCGGTTTCTGTTAAAATTTTGCTTTTCAGAGCTTTTGTGTCTTGAAATTAAATATTTTTTAAATTCATTAAGAAGCTATCATTTAATTTTTCACTCGACTATGAGTGGATTCTTTCTTTTGTGTTTGAAATTTTTTTAATAAGCAGAGCTCATTAATTACTGTGCTCACGAAGTTTTATTTCTCACTGTTAGTGGCATTACGACACGACATTGTTCAGAGTGAGCTTTGAATTAATCCGATTAACTAGATCTTAGTAGTTTTATGGTCTTGAGATCCATGACCCTCAATCTCTGTGATGTTTAAATTTAATTTTCCAGGTCAATTGCCTTCTTTCCGACAAAATTTAAAAGACATTCCTGAAGCATTCCGGAAAAAACTTGGCAGTAATTTGGATAAAACATGCCGAATGTTATTTCCATATGCTTTAACAATATTTCGAGCCGGTGTTCAGCGCTTTATGCAATACGATATTCCTCATGATATAATAACTAAATCGGCAGCAGAATTAATGCTTGTTTTGATTGCAACAGAACGAAAGTACTCTGTAAGCTTATTTTTAATATTAGAGTTTCTTCATTTTAATATATCTGCGCTTCTGCAATATGCTTTCCATAATCATGGGAAATAAATGAAAGAAGATAAAAAGAACTAAGCAGGCAATCAATTCACTACATTTGAATTTGAGACGATAATGTAGCCATGTTAATTAATGATTTCAGAATTTAAGATTTGACGTTGAAAATAATTCACTGCTTTACATCACGGAGTTACTTATATATGCTGTCGCAAATGGTCAGAAACAGGAAATGCAAGATTTGATCACAGCTATTTCATCCTTACCATCCGTTGCTCAAAAACACAAGGTTTCATTTTAAGTATATTTTTATGCATAAGTTTTTATCCTAAGAGTTTGCCGAAGTGCTGGACTTATCAGCATATCGATAAATTTTATCATGTAACTTTCAATTCAAATCCATTAATAGCAATCTATCCAAATTTTAGTATGTTACCATTCTTCGAGCTTACAAGGTGTTGTCTCGTTATGAACACTGGCGTTTGGGAGAAGAAGATAATGTAGTGCAAAGCAGTTCGTTTGATCTAGGAGATGAAATCATTGCAGTTCTACTGGTGAAACTTATGAATTTTACTTCAAACTGTTTAATCTAGACGAACAAATGAAGTGCTGCCATAAATGAGTTCGTAATATGCAGAAATGTTATAATTTAATTATTGGCTGATTCAAAAATGTTGCACTGCAGTTTTGTAAACCGAGTTATTTGGCGCTATAAAAGTCAAAAAACATTAAAATAACTTCAGGTTTCTCTAAAAAAACATAGAGAAAATCTAGGTGTAACTTTTACTAAGTTTAATTTTATGTACATAATATTGCACGTTGCTACCTTAACATTTGAATAGGTTTTCTCAAATCAGTATTCAAAATGACTAGAGGGAAGATATAACTGATGGAAATATTTTCACTTAGTATAAATTCTTGATTTGAAGGGAACTGTAGAGAGATTTCACTGTATCAGGTGTAGAATTGTACAGAATTTCTGTTTTTTTTACAAGTGCTTTAAGGAGATGGTTATCATTTTAGGATATCGAATCTGGTCAAGAAAGTGTTTTCATCTCCATAGCGGTGCATTATTTGCATTATGTCGGAAAAGTTGATATATTAATGGGTGCTTTGGAGAAATGCTGTCATAAAACGCCCTTCATGCTTGTTGATTGTTATCGTGCTTTGCTGTTAAATAATATGGCCGATAAAGCTAGTTTGTTGCTTGATGCGGTAAGCTTTCTTCTGTATTTATTATAGTTGTACTTTGACCCTATACCATTTAAAAATGATATTTCATTCCAGCTTGACTTCATCAACTTTTATATAAATTCAAGAAGCCAACTGCCTACGTTTAAAAGAAACAGGAAAGCTTCATTGCATCAAAACCTCGTCACATAAACAATGATAAAGCAGCCGTTGAATACTGTTACTGCTTCAGATTTTGCCGCAATGCAGCTGTGTTTCGCATCCGATTTTATTGGATTGGTTAAAGCCGCGACTTCTGAATCCTCACGATTATGATCTTCCGGAAGAAATGTTACGCCATATTTGCAAAATTTTGTTCGTTTTTTTGGATTATGGAACGAATAGGTTTGTGCAGTTTACATAATTAG